CCTGCTCCAGAGAATGCAGAACTTCTGGTTGGGTGGAGATGGCAGATAGATGTGAACAGAACAAAGATGCAAGAGAACCATAACGTTTTGCAAGTTACAGAGAAATTATTTTTGTTTCTTGTTACTTTGTAATATATTTAGCAATACAAACATGTAGCCCTTACTTTTAGATGAAGAAGGGTCTGAGGTTTGTCCGTGTTGTTACTATAATGTTCAGAGTTGTCCTACTGTGCAGTTCCTATACGTCCACGGTTTCGTGGATTACTTCTTTACAGATTTAATGAGAAACATCCAGGTCTAAACATACCAACAAAAGTAGAATATATTAAAGATCAAATTTTGAAAGAAATGAATCTCGTGATGTGAGATCTCGTGAGAGAATGTCTCTTAAATTGAAAGGTTTATCACAGAACTAGAAACGTTTGCTTCTGGTTCTCCATATTGACATACTGTAAGAGCAACGTAACAGATAGTTGGCTACTGTGTGGTACCTGAATTATGACGCTTAACTTGATCATCTGGTTCAGATCCAGGTATAGCACACGTCCAGATAAAAGAACATTGCAGTATCAACTCAAACGTTCAATACGTTTGTGTTCTAATACAGAAAAGGGATTGAGAAGAAGGCTTGCCAGCTGCCCGTTGGCTGGCATTGTAGCTTAATGCTTGAATCCAAATGTTGTCAATAGATACTGTGTAAATATTTAGACCTTAAAAAGGTTAAATGGCTACCATAGATGAAAGAAGAGCTACTTTAATTATTGAGTTTGGATTGAGGAAAGAAATACATATAAGAAGAAAAATGCCAAAACATGCACATCTATCAACAGTAAGGATAAACATCTTATTTTTTTATTTGTAGAAGTCATTTGTTCAGATAACTTTTCCAATTTATCTTCTGGTAAGACACAGTGGGTAGAGGAGGATGAGAAATACAATAGGAAGTACCAGGAAATGAAGACTAAGCCTGATTCTCATCATAAAATACTGTTTCACGTTTCTCTTCTCACTGTGAGATGGGGCTCCTGCATGCATCTGCAAATCTATATGTTAACCGCTAGATTTATGGGCTTGTAAAATGTGCTTTTTCCAGCATTTAAAGCAGTTATGATAACTTGAGTACATCTGTTTATAGTTGAGGATTATATCTAAATATGGTAAGGAATGGTAATAAGTCACACCGAATAATTCGATGACCATTGAGTAACACTGCGAATTATGACTGTTTAAGAGCTGGAGAAGAGTACTCTTTTTATCATCAAATAGCATTCACTAGAATCTGCCTAAGACCATGTAGTGGTATGCTGTAAAACATGTAAAAAGTAGTAGGGAAGCCAAGGCAGAAATTGAAAAGGTAGGACTGACATTGGTAATCAGAAAGCTATTGAGATTTCTTATTCTAGAAGCATCAAGCAAAAAGAGCAAATGATTGGCTTAAGTGGAAGAGCGATTAGAAACGTAAACTGACAACAACATACATGGACCATCAGCCCAGTTTTTCCATAATCCTCAGAAGTTTTGTAGAGAGTGGGTTGCAGTAGAGATGGGATGTTTGTAAGTGGCGCTACCAACTCTGTCTATAAATAAGTTTACCTAATGCATTCAGTTATGTAAAATGTGAGTTACCCGTGCTTTTGCTGAACTTCTGACTAGTCAGAAATGAATAGTTTTCTTGATAAAAGATTGAAGTTTCATAGGAACATTAAGCTAAAATGGTTTAGCCATTAGTTCTGAGAAGGAGGAGGAAAAAGGCTTTTGTCACGGGAAACAGTTTTGTTTCGAGCACTAGTTCAAAACAGTTCTAGTTTGGAACACTAAAAATCTCTAGTGTTCACGTGCTTTCAAGGGCAAACTTGGAATTTGGGAGAAAACGTGTTTTGATGGGAAGGAAGCACCATTGGTATTCTTATGTAAAACTACCTCTCCATAGGACCTGGCTTTATTCGCTGTGCTGGATGGGCAAAGCTCTTGGAAATAAAGCAGGATATAGTGAATAAGACTGTTATATAGTGAATAAGACTGTTACTTGCAGGCATCTGATGTTACTCACCTGAGACAATAATTTAAAAATTGTATTGGCATAAGTGCGACAGATGCCAAATAATAGTTGCACGAATAACACTAATTCTGATATGTCCTAGTTTGAATCGTAGATTTTTGTAGGGTGATTTCTTTGAAAAGCTTCCCCGCACCTTAAATACAATGCAGGAACTGTGTAGTTCAACGATAGTGCAATAGTTAATGTTAATCTGAGGGCTGATGAGGTCAAGAGACGAAACAAACAGTTAAATCCATGGCTAAAAAAAAATAGAAGTTTGCATTAGGTAAATTATATTGTGTAATAACCAGTGACACTTTGAAACAAATGCAGACTTATTTTTAATAAGCTGCGCACAGGTTCTCTTCACTATTCTCATAGTAGCCTGTGTTCTTTTATTGTCTCTTGCTTTCCAGCAGAAGTTATAAACTTGACGAGGCAAAAGCTGTCTTTGTGTGTGCTGTTGCTAAAGCTCAGCCTTCTTATTTCAATAAATGATGTAGCTTTGAATTTCAAAGCAAACAAGCGTTAAAACCTAAACCTTCCTTGAGCTATAGTCTGAATTTTCATTGAATTAAGGCTTGTCTTGATACTGTACAGTATTTGAGATTGTATTATTTTAGTTGTCTTTTGAATTATTTAGAATGCTTCTTGTTCCAATAACATTTAAAATGCAGCTTGCAGCTTTTACTGCTGTCGGTTCCTTGCATCGACTTTGATGGGCAAAGTGAAAGTTAGTAGAAGGCGATATGTTGCAGTATGGCAACTTTATGGTAAGGGTGCAGTGGACTCTGGAAAACTGGAATACTTCATGTCAGCCTGTATGTGAAACTTGTAGATTCTTACAGATTTCTTGGAGGTCTGAAGTGAAAAGGCAATTGAATAACAGTTCTCGTAATTAATTGTCTTTATTTGTAATCTAAGGCATTAGCGGGAGAGTGTTTTTTCATATATAAGAAACGAAATATATCAACATTGATTCACAGTGTTTGTGAACTAAATTCTGTAGTGATTGTCTGGATGTTTATAAAAATTTCCATGCAAAATGGAAGTTTCTGCCTGTCGCAAAACAGTTGTTTGTAACTTGGTTCACTGCAACTCCTGTTTAAGAACAAAAAAAAAAACCCCTTCCTTAATTCCAGAAATTGAACAGAATGCCTATGTGAGTTTTGAAAAAGGAGGTCTATAATTACTTGCCAGGAGCCTTTTTTTAGCAGCTAATTCAAAACTTAATATTATAATTAAGAGGATGAGTTGGGCCCAAAGGTGGTTCCTTTGGCCATTAGAATTGATTGAGGTCAGCAAGGCAATTTAGCCAGTTTAGAATGGCTTATTGTAAAGTCTCTTACTAATTCTAACTGTAGTGTTGCTGCTGTAACAGAGCTCTCCAGGTTTTTAGTATTTTACAGTTCGGAAAGGTTCACCAAAAGCGTTAGCACTTTGACGTGTAGCGAAGTAAAGGTTGCTAGGAGATTTTGTAGTGAAATTGTTCCATTGTATGCCTCCTAAAACATCAAAAGGAAAAGGCCTCCTTAAAACAAACCACCTAATCCCCTAATGAATAGTGTATTTCAAAAGTGTTTAAAGTCCTGCAAGTCCATGTTATGCAAACTGGTTCAATTAGTTTTAAGACTATTAGTCTAACTGGTGATCTAGAGGCGGTGTTTCACATTTTATTTTTAAGCGGTTATTCTTTCTAGGCCTAATTCAGCCTTAACATCAAGGGGTTGTTCCTAGTTTAACTACCACGCTTGGGGGTGGGGAATTCACTGCTGTAATACCAGAACCAGTGAGATTTTACAGAAGTGCTGGTAAGCTGAAATCTACTTTGAAGCGTGACTGACCGCTGCATGTAGTAGTGAAACAAGGCTGGCTATTTTATGGCTGCCTGTTAAATTTAATGGCTTCCAACCCTTGTCTTGTCAGACGAGCCGGGCAGGCGCGCTGAACTGCCCTGCAGAGGATTTCTCCCTGAAAGCACGGAATGTAGCACTGAAAATAGCCTCGGGCGGGGCCAGCTTTTGTTTTTAGCAACTAATACTTCCTGAATGAGGCTGTAAAAGTTGTCTTGAGCTTTGCCCTTCTAGACCTGTTTAATTGAAGCCTTAAGAAAAAATTTCTTTGAATTTGTAAATATCATGAAGCTTTTGCAGAGGTGGAAGCTGCTGTTAAATCTAAAAGTAACAAATATGTAAATACCGAAATGGTGTCGGTTTGAAACCTTGGATAAGTGTGCCTCTGTTCCACAAGCATCCGTCTGAAGAATTGAGTGGCAGGGCTTAAAAACCGGGTTTGTCTAAAGTGTTTTAATTTAACTGGGGTTAAGCTGTAAGAGTTCATGCTACGTGACTCCAGAATTTGTGAAATACTATTACCTATTAAAAAAACAACAAAACTTTGTCCTGTTGACCGTCTTCCCTAAGCAAGCTAAATAGGAACTGAAGAAAAAGGTCTCATCTAGAATATTTTTTCATTCATTTCATCAGTCTTCATAAAGAGTACAGAAAGTTACTGTAATTTGTGGACAACTTAGTATATCAAAGATAAGAGCCTGTCCAAGTTAGTTTATGTTTTAGTTACAATTTCTTTTCATTTTGTCCCTTTAGAGAGTGCCGTATCTGTCAGAAGGGCGTAGACTTGTCCTTGTGTCTGCTACCGGCTTTGTTCTAGTGTCGGTACGGTTTCAGCGTGGAGAGCTTGTTTCCCAGTTGCACTGAAGGCTTATGTGTTTTACAGTTGTTAATAGATGGACTCTTTATGGGAAACTTGCTTGGCAGTATTTAGCCACAGTATCTCTTTACATAATGTAGACCAGTGTGAAGATCAGCTGGTTTTATTTAGCAACTCTTTTCTTTCTATTGTTGCACTAACCAGGTAGGTGAAGGAGAAAAACACTTTTCTTTTTTCTTTTTTGGGGGGGGGGGGCGTCTAAGTTTTAGGTACTTATCACTGGAGCTCTCTGGCCTGGCAGCCTTTCTTCTTACAGTATAAAGAGCTGAGGGAATCTTGCAAAAGAAGGAAGCCTAAAGGTTTTCCTGTAAAGAAAAACAGAAGTATTTAAGGGAGGGAAGGAACAAGGAAGTGTTTTCACTTTCAGGTGCTATGAGATGCACTTGATTTAATAGGCTTAAAATTCTGTCTTTACTGCAGGTGAATGGCTGTTGCTATTAGCAGTCTCACAGGCCTTGGTTACAATCCCCCCGAGCTCAGAAGCCTCAGCTTAGTCCCTACGTGGTTGTGGCTTGCTTCATAATCATCAACTAAAGGGATTTGCACTTTTTTGTTTTTTAACTTTTCACACACATCCTTACAGTGACACAGCCTTAGGATTGTCTTGCTAAAACTGGGGTTGTTTCAGCATATCGCTCTGAAGAGGACCAGATAACTTGCTGAACGTGGATTTTAGCTTTTGGGAATTTTGAGTCTTGGAGTAACTGTCTTCCAGAAGTTTCAAGAAATGCAGTTTCTGTGTATGAGGTGTTATTCAAATAAGATATCTAAATTTGTCTTTCAATAAAGCTAGACAAATTACAGGTAGATAAATGAAATGCTTAGGGTTGTGAATTTAGAAGAAAACTGCAAGTTTCTAAATTGAACTTTTTTTTTTTAAAGTATCTCTTTCTAGTGATTGGAAAGCTGTAACTGGTGGAAAATGTTTTGTTACCATGTGCAGCCTTTTTTCTGCTTTTGCTGATGTTGTACAAATCGAATTTCCACCTGCCGCCCTTACTGATCTTACAGGGCACGTCTGCGGAGCGTGGGTGGGCTCGGAAAGAACGCCAAACTAAAACGGGTTTAGCACAGTTTATCCTTGTGGTGTCTTCTCAAAACGTATGTTGCTGTGTTTAATAGCATGGTGTGTTTTTAGCACAACACTGCTGAGAACAGTTTGGTGCTGATGTCCGACATACAGCCTCCAGCTATGTGTGTGCAGAGTGACTTGACAAAATGGTAATTGTAGAAGAGGTGAATAAGAGAATATGCTCAATGGGTTTCACTGCTTTTAGTGGTAATACTGCTTATGAGTATTTAAGATGCTTCATTATGCTCTAGCTAAATACCCTTTACTGCTCCCTTAGGGGGAATGCAGAGCAAAAGGAGTAGCTAACAACTTATAGCGAAGCCGGCGTTGCAGTTGGGTGATTTGTCGCCTTCAGTGGCGACACGGATCTGAGGTATTCCCATACTGCGGGATGCATCCTCCCACCATGCAGCAACACGGGTATTTGTCAGGTCGCGCTCTGGACTGGCTTGGGAAAGCTCTTTGGCTGCAAACAACACAGACCAACTTGTTTGGCTTACAACCTCTTTCATGAGAAAAGAGAGGGAAAAGGTGGGAAAAGAACTCAATCGAAACCCATACTGAAGGCCACTGTATTTAAACTTCAGACTGAAGGGTGGCAGCTCGCCTAAAAGTTGAGTTCAAGAGAAAGAAAGCGCTGGTAGGCTAATGGCAGTTTACAGAGTACACACAGGAAGCAGTTTATAATCATTAGTAGTGTCTGCTTTTCTTATGAAATTAAAATATTAAATCACTGCAGAAAAGCACAATTTTTTTGTCCTAAACTATCACACTTCTGTTTTGGGAAAATATTAAGATGCGTTTGAGGCAAGTAGACTGGAATGTATTCAGCAGTGTTTCAGGAATGCACGTTTTTGTACCTGTTTTGCCATGGCTGGCACTTACCACTGTAAGTTGGCTTTCTTAAAACTGCTTCAGTAAAATGTAAATATCTTGCAGCTTTCAACAGGTGACTGTACCTGTTATGGGATCTAGGCTGATTATAACTTTACTGCTAATACAGAAAAGGGGAAACTTGGGCCAGATCCGAAGTTTGCAAGCTGTTTTTAACTTTCATTTCTATTTTTGCTATCTTTGAAATAGCTTCTGTGTCTGCCTCTGTAGCAAAACTGTGTTTAATAGTGGGTCTCTTTTTCCTGGAATGATGTACTTCTAATGCATAGGTCTTCATTTTTGTTCATTTCTGAAAGATGGCATACTTTTATAGATGGTTCATAACAGAGAGTTAATTCTTAGTATTTCTTATATAGATTCAGTTGCCAAGTGATCTTGTTTGCTTTTCTGCTTTTTTTTTTTTTTTTTTGAAGTGGTGTTGGGTTAATGCTGTTGCTGGATGGAAATCTCTAGACCTGATTCAGAATGAGTCAACTATTTCTGTCAACTGTAAGTCAACTATTGCCAGTTTTCTGCTGGCACATGTCAGTAGTGTTACCTGGTATGCTGATAGCAAAGATGATTATTTTAATAACTTTGGGTAATATATAATCCGTGGGCTGGTAGGGGGTTGAGGTGGAAGACAGTTGGTTTAAAGAGTGCACCAAAGGTAATAATCAAACAATACTGTAGTGTTTGTTTTTTTTTTTTCCCAGAATTATTTGTATGTTTAGAAAGCAAGGACTACCTGCTGTGTTTCCCTCACTTTAGAGGAGTTGTAGTGGCTAAGTGAATAGACTTGTATATGCACTACGAATAAGCAAAAACTATTGGCCGATAGTTTTCATAACATTTCATCTATACAATACTCTTTCTTACATATTTTGTATCTGGCAATGGTCTCTTTTACTGCTAGTCTGCACTGTTAGCCTTGCAAAGGCCTTAGAGGTTAAGGATAAAGAGGAGGTTTAATTTAACCTTAAGCTTGAACCAGATTTGGACTATAACTGTCCTTAAAAAGGAGCAAGCAGGCATTTTAACCTAATTTTCTGTCTTCTCTCCTCCCCTTTCCCTTCTCTTATCCATGACCTTTTGCTAAAGCAATTTTAAGTCAGATAATGATGTTACTTGCATGGTTTCCTAATGGTATGTGGTCAAGAAAAACTGAGTTTTCTTACTGAAGGCTACTGTCAGCAACTAGAGATGAGCCGCAGCTGTGTCAACAATCATTTTTTATTTTAAAATACTCATAGTCATTTTAGTAATTCACACTATATTTCAAGGAGAACTTGCATGTTTCAAGTGAAAGTGGTTCTTTCATCAGGAGAAAAGTCAAATAGATTCAGTTTTTGTACTTGCACAAGCATTATCGTAGCTGTTGACTAAGTAGAGAGGCTTAGATGTAGCATATGGCTTCCTATAAGTAACTTGCTTTACTGCAGAAGCTATTGCTTTGTCCTTTGCAGCCTGAGCTACGTTGTATTTGTTGAAATCACGTCCTGTTTCAATTAGTCTCTATGGTCCTGTGAAATGGTTTGCATGTGGCTAGAATAACTTGCTATGAATTATTTAAAAAGCCAAAGTTTTTGATGTCTAGATATTTTTGAAGTCTCATAATTCTGCAGACTGAACAGTAAGTCGGTAAATAGTTTTTAACACCAAGCCAGCAGCATCTGAGCAGGGTATCTTCTGCTAGTTCTAGGCCATTCTTTTGGGGTATTGGCAAATCTCAGTTCTTGTTCGTTCTTTGGTTTGGTTTTCAAGGTGTTTGATCTCTGAACCTGAGAAATGTGTATTTGGACCCGCTTGCTGGAGATAATCTGTCGCCCTCTGTAACTTAAGGCTGGAAGCCTTTATTCTTTATCTCAGTGGCTTCCTTTATGATGTATGTTGCAATTTTGTCTTGAGTACAATTAATGTGTGTGTGTGTTTAAGATAACTGGTAGCTTAGCGCATATCAAATGCGAGGACAAGGCTACGTTATGCTTCTAGGAGGTAATACTACTGTGACAAATTTCGGAAGAGAAGAAGAAAGGAGGGGACGACTTCAAAAAGAAAATCTTTGGAAGGGGAATAAAAGTAGAGGTGGATGGAGGAAGATAGATTATGAAGCAGGGAGAAATTAGGAGTGAAGTGGAAGAAGAAGAATGGGAAACACAACAGGGAAAATGGGCAAGACAATGAAGTGCAGTGAAGGAGTGGTAAGCAAACAATAAGCCAAAAGATCTGTGTTGAGCTGCAGTTTCATTTGCTGCCTGTTGTCGCCTTAACTGAAGGTTTTCCATATAAGATTAGTAGTGATGGTGAAGTTTATTGCCTCAAGGTGTCTCTGACCCTTCTTGCTCGACTTAGAGCTCTTGTTTTGGGGAGGTCTTGTAAGGTCTTGAATGAGAAGGGGGTTCCCTTAATTTACGCTTCCTGTACTTGCAATGAAAAGATGCTCTGAGAATGGTTATGGAGTGCTGCAGATCATGGGTTTGCATGTCTTGGGGTTTTTTGTTTGTTATCGTTGGGGTTTTTTGTCTTGGAGACTCTTTTGTATTTAGCTACCTTGGACCGAGAAGACTGTGTGTGTCGTTCTTGTTTGATTTGTTCTTTTTCGCCAGTGTTGCCCCAGAATAGTTTGCGTGAGTTATTCACGAGTTGCTCTTTGGTCTTAACACTGTGAGGAAATAATCTCTTATTTGCGAGCATCTATGGCAATGTAATGCGAGGGAAGCAAAAGGGAGGAGAGGTGGGGAAGGAGAAGGCTGAACAAAAGGTTCAGAGCTCTTGCAGAATTTTATAAATTATGAAATAGATTTTAAATGACTTAAAATCTGTAATACTTTATTTTGTGATTTTTATATTTTATTTTGTAAAGATTTTAACATTACTTTATAAACTATTCACAGAATGTGTGAGCGCTTGGATGCGTATTAATGGTGTGACTGAGGTTCTTTACGTGGTCACTATGGAGGAAGATGTTAGCTTTGATCTGGCAGGTTGCTTTTGAAAATTAAGCAGCTTGACTTCCAAGTGAAATGACATCAAGTAACGCGTATTCTAACAGACTTATGTGTTTCTATAAGTGTCCTCCTTCCCTCTCTCTGTAAGGCACTTGCTTTGAGGCCTATCCCCTTCAGATGGGGAACAGTAAGAGCAACAGAGCAATACATCAGGGTTGCGTTGTTCGGTTTCATTAGGTTGCCTAATGACATTTCATCACCCATCAAAAGACAGTGAATGACACCACCATGCTACTAATATACAGTAGTGAAACTGAGTTTTACATGCTTTGACTAAAATTGAATTTGTTTTCCTTGGTCATAGCAGGTGTGGTACTCGCACGCTGCTTTATCTGTAGTGGCTCAGTTGCAAAGAGCACGGAGTTGGCATCCTCTGTGAGGGGAGAGACGCAAGATAAAAGCTCCTCTGCATCTTTCCCCAGCTCCCCGGGAGCAGGCCATTTCCCATGGGGGTTTATAATGCGAGGTGGCCTCCTCACAATGTCTTGCTGTCTTTCTCACAGGGGTCTGGGGTAAATGGTAAAGACAAATACATTTGGAAATAAAAAGTCTGGACGTGCTTTTGGGCTGGGGGCTACTAAACTCAGAGATGGCTTCTCTGTCTGTCTTGGGTTTGTGTGTGTGGGGGGGGTGACTCTGAAGGTGAGACAGTTATAACTGTGGCACAGGAGAAGCTCTGTTATTGCAGCAGATAGATCGGTAGAAGCTAGAAGTGATGCTTTTTCTAATGTTATCTTAACTCTTAAGTTACAGGCATCTAATCAGCCAAACACTTCTTGCAAGCAATTTACCTGTTGCTTTTGCAAGACTTGGCTGTTTGGCAGTCCTACAGGTTCTGGTGTCTGTTCTCCCTGCCAGAACAGCATCCCGCCCTGACGAACTGCCGATTGTGAGCAAAATCTTTCTGCTCTGTTAAGAACAACTAGTAAGATTAAATCTAAATTTCCGTGTTTTTTTAGATATTCAGTGCACAACTCGTAGGCTCTGTGTAGCCTCTTGGAATACTTTATCTGGCTCTAATCTGCTGCTAGCTGCCTTCTGTCTGGAATGTGTTACCGCTTCTGCTTCTGCTGTCGTGAATCAGTGAATGAAGCAAAAAAGCAAATTATTTTGTGATTAGGATTGTAATTGGTGTTCACATTTAATTTTATAAGATATAGAAATGTTGTGTACTAACTTCCATACTGGAATATACTAGTGATTTGTTTACGTTGTTATGTATTAGAAAACTGATAAACTTTAGTAACTAAAGCTTGTTTATAAATCACTTTTGTCATTGGTACCAGTAAGTAGAGACACATGAACTGATGAGTATATACTCAATGCCAGAATGTCACAGTGGCACAACATGGTTGAGAATTTCAGAGAACACAGCTTTTTTAATTTCAGTCCTAAAAATCAGTCTATTCACTCCTCTCCCCCCTCCCCCCCCCGTTAAAGCACATAAAGAAAAGCCTTCTTTTCAGCTTAATACTACAGAGTTGTAGGTGCTATATTTCATAATATTTAACCTTTCCCCCCCCCACTCTTTTTTTACAGAAAGATCCAGATTACCTGAAGCTCTGGTTGGACAGTTTTGTTTCTAGTTATGAACAGTTTCTGGATGTGGACTTTGAGAAGCTGCCAACGAGGTATGTAGAATTACAGACCTGTTCATCTTTGTTTGATACATGAAATGGACCTGGCTGAGATCCCGGGCTTGTTCAACCTCAATACTGCTTTTAAACAAAAGATAGATTTTATTGTTGAGTGGCACTCCCCGTTCTTTTGAAGGTCAAGTTGAGTTGGGAATGATGAAACTAGGCAAATACTGGTATTTGCATTATATGAGGAGATGGCATCAGTATTCACCTGTTGTCGCTGATAGAAAGATAATCATTATCATCCCTTTTGTGCTGTTGAAATAAGTATATGAAATAGTGAATGTTAGTGCTTGTGTCTGTAACAGAAGTGAATGGATAGAAGATAAATGTAGGATGAGTTTTGTAATTTAGGGGTTGCCTTAAAAATAAGGATAAGATGAATGTTATGTAATTGGTTTGGATAGCTTGACTGAATAGCTCTTGTAAAGTTAAAATATGCACAAATGATAGATTTAAAAGCGAGTTCCTTCTTTGCATCTGTGAAGACGTCAGGTGAGGGGCAAGAGTATTACTAACTTCAGCACTGTTGCTAATCTTACTGAAATAATCATGGGACAGATGTGAAAATAGATTTTTCACAAGTCCCATATTTAGTATTTTGAATTTACTTTCTGTATTTTAATGATTGTGTTTTCAAGACTAGCTTTGCAATTGTGAGAAATAGAAACTTAGGCACTGGATATTTTTTTTCTGGCTTTCAGATGAAAGCTGAGATGCTTGCATGAACTAAGAGTTTTAAAAACCCCAAATGTTAGGGTATTCAGAAATCATGAGAATTGGCATCAGTATTATAGCTGCTATAACTACTGGTGAGTGAATACGAGGAATGACTCTCCCTGCACCATGGCTCTAGTCCAAACCCTGTTGAAATCAGTGGAAATTCTCTAATGAGCTTTTGGTCCGATCCTGTTTTAGGTGTAAGTGATAGCCTCCACGGTTACAAAGAAAGGAAGAATGCTGAAACTGGATCTCAGTGGATTAAAAACTGAACTTCTTTTCTATTTCTTTTAAAATTTTCTCTTAATGCTTATATTAATGCAAAATATATAGTGAAATTACTAAAAAAAATACAAAAAAAAAAAAACCCTGCAAAAACTACAGGTTAGTTCTGTGCTCTCTTCCTAAAGATCTGTCATCTTTGCAGTGAGATGTGATAATGCATACTACAGTGGCTAGTTCAGGAAAAAAGTTATCCTTTAACATACCATTTAATATTGAAACGTAAACGGTGAAAGAGTATAGTATCTTGGTGCTTTTGTTTAAGGTTTTCTTTTCTTTTACAGCAGCATAGCAAATGATTTACAATGAGGCTTAGCTTGGCAGAACGATAGCAACATCTTCGTTGTGCTAAATGATGGTTTTGTGAGCGTAAAAATCCTGTGTTTTGCTGAGGTTAATGACGGGATTACTGGTTTAGTCTGGAAGAATAGGCCTATATGGATTTAGACTCATTTTTGTAACAGATGTAGAGAAAAAATACCAAAACAACATAACGATAAAGACAGATAATTCCTGTGCCTCAGCGACTGGATTTAAATAACATGTTATTTGAGAGCAGATATTGAAGTTAAAAAAGAATTGCTGTTTCTGACTTTATACTTTATTTGCATTTGAGATATGGAGAGGCATGTGAAAAATCACATCTTTCTGGCTTTTAAGTTCATTCTTATTGCAGGCATTTACCAGTGGAGCTGAGCCTACTGAGCTTGCAAAGGAGAACAAGCAGGTCTGTGTGGCACTGCCAAAGCCTGGTTTCCTGTGGTCTTCTCTTGGTATCTAGGAAGAAATGAGTTTACACAGTGATCTTTGTCTGGTTGAAGTACTCCTGGAGGGCTCTCCACTGCCACACTACCTCTATTCACAATCCTAGAAGGAATCTTATGTTTTGTGCTGCTGCCTTGCTCTGTCAAATTTGCTCGAAATCAGTAAAGAGCTTCGGTTAGTAGAAGAGTGACTGACATGAGCCTATATGCAAGCACACAGTGTGGTTAAAGGTGCAGTATTTTCCTTATAGCCCACACCGTGTTATGGCTTCATACCTAATTTTAATATTTTTACTGGAGTTACTTCCTCCTATTAAAAAAAATTATTTCTGTCATTTGATCTTGAAAATGATACATGATGCTAGCTACAATGAGAAAGTGAGTGGCCTAGTACCTATTTTTTTTTCTTTATATAGATCTTGGTGCACTCTACAGCTGTAGAGCACGCCTGAAAGACCTCTTGTATTGAAGGGCAAAAGCCAGTAAATGGTGAGAAACTGTGCAGGGAGAAGAAAGCTTGTACAGATGACTGGACAAAACTAACCTTTCAGAGGAGGAGAATGTGTTGTCTTCCAGTTCTTCCATGGAGTAATGTCTCTTGCATTCGAAAAATGCCACACACCTAAATTTAATGAAACTATTAAGTTTTTTTCTGAAGGAAGGACTCTTTTTACTGGTAGTGTCGCATGTTGATTTCATTGATAAGGATATTGTTTCTATAACTTAAAACATAGAATTTTCTGAAACCTACTTTGGGAACTTGTCCGATGCTCCATAATACAGAATTTGGAAATTTCTAAATTAGGGGGACGAGTGTATCCAGTCATATGATTTGAATGTAGAAGTAGAGCTGGTTTTCAGATGTACTTTTATCTGTTTGCATCTTCTCTAGGTCGATGTATTTTTACATTTATATATTACTTTGGGTAATTTTAAAGGAAGTGGTTGGCTATTGGCATTTACAGTGATTTTGTGTGTGTGGTTTTGTTTGTTTTTTAACTGGAGAAAGTGAGGATATGCCACAATATAATAGCTATACTGACAGCTGTGTGCGTGGAGCACAAAGGATTAATGCACTACACTGTTCTTTTCCTAAGCCATTTATTACATCTTTTCAGTATTTACAGTAGGAAGCGTAAAAACTTTACCAGCTGGTGGGAGGGATTTTTTTCCTTCATTGAAGGAGAGAAATTATCACTTAGTTTAATATTTTAGAAACAACAAAGGACTCCAGAGTGTCGTCATGTTCTCTTTTGGTTTTGGTTTGCATGCTGTCAAGCGAAGGAGCTTAAAGGGTGCTCATCCAAAGTACTGTAGACACCATACTTTGTTTATATATGGGCTTCAAACCCACATGAAAATGATGTAGGAATCATGATAATCATGCTGATTACATGTTTACTGGAAACTCTGTGCTGGAAAGTGAAGTCTGGTTTTCTACAGTGCTTTGTTTGTAAGTGCTTGGCGCTTTGGAGGGGAGGGAATGATTCCCAGTGCGTGGGTTTAAGCTATAATAAGATGAATACAATTTAGAGACTAATTTAATTCCTTTCAAAAACTGTCGATGGCAGATTATAACTGCCTACCCGTTTTAAAGCAATGCAAGGACATAAATAAAACCCAAACGTGTCAAGGACTCTCTAGAACTTTTGAAGTAGAGTACCAGCAATCAGATAAGAACCTGAGCTAACTTGTTTGCCTGTGTGTGTGGTGGGTTTTTTTTTTTTTTTGGGGGGGGGGGGGGAAGAAACTTTTCCTTTTGGAGTAGTTGCTTTACACAGCTAGTCTTGTTAGGGAATAGCTGATGATATGCATCCACAAATCTGATTTTTTGACTTTTGCAGTGATAAGAAATTGCTCTGTTGGGATGAAAAGAAGTTTGATTATTTAATCTTTATAGTGTATTCAGCTTGAGCAGCCCCTGAAGATTGGCGTTTCTTGTGCCATTCTTGCACAATGCAGTGATTTCCAAGGAGTGGTGCAATAGCATGGACTTGTAGCTACTGCAGAGCCCACATTCTTTGGGTCATGAGGCATGAAGGGCATGCTGTTTGCTTTCTCATACAGCATTTTACGATGTTACTGAAAGGACTTGTTGCCCATTTTAGGGAAATTACTTCTGGATATGTGATTTCAGCTGCTTAAAAAATGACAGCCTTCCTCATACAGCGAGGGTGAATTCTCAGATTATTATGAGCAGTGCTTGTAGTCCCTGAGGGCATGCATCTGCTGGCAACTTGAGGGATGAAGCTGCTATCGCAGAAGTGCAAGTTTCTTTCTTGGCAGTTGTGGTTGAAAATAGGAGTTGCTCTCTGTTTTGTGGTTCATGTCTCTCTGTTTAGACTCCCAGGTCCTACAAAATTTCTGTCTTCAGCAAATGATGCTTGAGGAAGATCTGAACAGCAAATTGTCTAGCTTTGTGAAGAAGCAAGAGAGTGAATGGTGTGAAGTCCCTGGTGTACGTGTGGTTGACGCTTGTTTTGTGGGACATGGGAGTTTGCTCCTGTTTGTGCCTGCCTAGTTGTTTTATTAAACTGTATCTCAATTTTTCCTTTTCAGCTTTAGAAAGCTGAATGATATGTTGTTCCTCCTTTCCCTCAGACAGCCAATGTCACAGTGTTAATTCTCAGTAATTGCACTTCTCCATCCTTTTTGATGTCTGTTCTTACACAGATTCATGTAAGTAAGTGCTCTGTTAGAGAGCATAGGAGTTGGCTCTGTTGTTCGGTTTGTTATAGTTTTTCTCCCTGCCTTTGGCTATATTTTAGACTGGTGTAAGCTGTGTCCTGAGGCTTTTCCTGTGTAAAATTGATAGGGAATAGGTGAGGGTGAGAGCTGCTGATGCCAAAGGCAGGCTCACCTTACCGTGTGTAACAGTGGGTGTACAGCTTGTTGACAGAAAGCTGCCTGTGAACTTTTGCCAAAAATGAGTTTCAGTGGTCTCCATCCTGGAGAATGTTTAACACACCTATGTGTTTCTAGAGTGTTGCTGAAATGGGTTTCTGTATGGCTGATCTCAGAGCACTGACTTGGCTACTGTTTTTGTGTCTGTGGTTTTTTTTTTTTTTTTTTTTTTTATTTCTTCTGGTTCTCTGGTATTTTTCTACAAATGTTTGTTTAGCAGATGGCATGCAGGAGCACCTAATGTTCTCCAAGGCGAAGTCTGGACGTGCTAGAGTTGTCATAGTTAATCGCAACAGAGCAGTCTTTTTGTCTTCTAAAAATAATTAGATAGCAGAACAAAACTGTTTGCTGGGTTAGTGATATCCAGAAACTAATAAGGGTAGGTCAGCTATTCACGCAAAACCAACGTGCCAAGAGTCGGCTGGATTGCCGGGAGCCTTCTGTCCCGCGTTCAGACCCTGATTTTTCGGATTGTGCCTGATTTAAACTTACTGTGAACTGCTGTTGCCTTGTAGCTCCTATACGTAACAAATGAGGTTCATTGTGGATGTTTGCCAACTGGGTTTCAATAATTACTATTTAATAATTGGCATTTTGTTTATGTAGGTACTTTTATCTCCAGTAGGAAATTGAAGGTGTTCCCTTGTGTTCGGTTTCCATACGTTTCATTCCTTTGGGGGTGTCCCTTCCGTTATTCAGGGATCTTCCAGGCCACCTGTTTGCCTACTCAAGAGCATGCAACTTCTCTGTGGCAATTGCTTCATGAAAGGGTGTTTACGAATCCATTTAATATGCTTTTAAGGCTTTTTTCAATGCGGTTTGTCTGGGGAAAGGAAGATTGAGCAGGCATGTTACCACCAGGCATTTCCTTCTAGCTCAGTAGAAAGTGTTTGTGAGCAGTCAGCTGCTGCAGTTCAGTAACCTTTCGTACACAGGTTTATTGGGACACTACAGAAGCACACTGAAATATTTTGATACTATAGCATTTGCAAGGTTAAAAACACTTTGTGTGTATGACTTTCTCTTTAGGGTGGATGATGTTCCTCCAGGAATATCACTGCTTCCTGATAACATTCTTCAGGTCTTGAGGCTCCAGCTACTACAGTGTGTCCAGAAGATGTCAGATGGACTAGAAGAACAGCAGCAAGCTCTGTCACTTTTGCTTGTGAAATTCTTTATCATCCTTTGCAGGTATTTGTTCTGGCTGCTATCTCAACAAGGCTATTGTTTTGTTTAGGAAAACTTGAGGCGGTCCACAAATATAGATTCTTATGACATGTGCAGCGTGACTTTACGTGTTCCAGGAGAGACAAAGACATGTCACCTGTTGCAGTCTTCAAGATAAAGAGGAGAAGAAAGAGATGAGGAGGAGAGATTCGGTCATTTTAGCAATAATATTTGCTATGAGGAACGTGCTAGTGGCTGATTAGATACTAAATTCTTTGATTCTTCAGTTATATTTATGGGAATTCAAGACATGGTGTACTGGGTATAACAAATCTTTTTCAAAGAAGAAGGCAGAGTCCAGTAAGAGTTGGATATGAAACAACTCTAAAGACAAATGACTAGGAAGAGCTGTTTTACATTCTTAGCATGCTTATGATTCTATAAACAGCTTAGGAAATGATTTGGAAACTTGCATTAACAGAGGAAGGGGGATAAAGTATAACAGGGAATCCCTTTTCCTAAGGAGTATTCAAAGCGGCTTTTTCTGAGCCCTTTGGTTCTCCTTATCCCTGAAACAGCACAAAGGGTTGTAGGGCAGTATTTAAGTATCCCAGAATATTAAATATAAACTGTGTAGCTGTTGGTAGCTGTTGCTGAATTACCAACTGTTGTCAGTCTTATTTAATTGCTGAAAAATTCTCCTTACTTCATCATTTAAGCATCTGATTTTTGTGGCTTGTCCTCAAGACTGAGAATTAATGTGCATGCTATTTCTTTGTTACTGATGATTATTTCATGTTCTAAAATAGTTTTAGATTTTTTTTTTTGCCCCTATGGAAGAATTTGAAATGCTAAACTGCTTCTAAGTAACATGCTTGCTGAAGTTTTAGAAGCTGTATGTAGCTATGATATCGATCTCCTTGTGACACTCTAGTCATGCGGGAGAAATGGAAGTTGCTGCCTTTGTTATCAGATGCAATTTCTGAGCTCTCTGTTCAGAGTGCCTGGGAATCTGCTTAACCTCTGAAACCCCAAATTCCCATTAGAATTGACCTACAGCAGGGAGACTGGGTCTTTGGCTGTACTTGCGTCTTCCTGTTAGACAAAAACTTGTACTATGTTACTGTGACAGAAATAAACATCTGAGTACATGCAGTCTTTTGGGGAGTAGTTTTGAAATACTGATACACTTTTGTATCATCTTAAACTGAATGCTAAAAAAAACATTGTTTGAATTAGCCTCAAATAGTAGGCTGTGTACATTTCTGTGGTTTTTATGTTGCTTTCATAGAAATTTGGCTAATGTGGAAGAGATCGGAATGTGTTCATACATTAACCATGTTATCACCATGACCACGTTATACATTCAACAGGTATGTGGTGTTTGATTCTCATCTGTTGTTTTCCCTGTCTGCTACTGCCTGCCCCTGCTTATATGACTCCCTATTTAAAAAAAAAAAAAAAAGGCAGCAGGAGGTGCAGGTGAGTATTTGAGGGCTCAAAACTGTTGAGGAGATAAAGATTAACTCTCAGCTTTTGGGAATCTTCTGACTTCTTTTTTTTTCCTCCTCAGTTAAAAAGCAAAACAAAAGAGAAAGAAGTGGCAGATCAGACCCCAATAGAAGAATTTGTAAGACATGCATTGGCTTTTTGTGAAAGTCTCTATGATCCATATCGAAACTGGAGGCAACGAATTGCAGGGTATGTATCGACGAGTACAGGATCATAGATTTTGTTTTTGTGATAACAAAACATATGTAACAAATGATATGTATGGTTTCAGACAGAACTATTATTGCCCCATGTCAAACTACAATGAAGTGTAGTTACACGGATGTTCTTCTGCTCTTGCAATTTTTTTCAGGTATTAGAATTCATAGCCTTGAGAATTTGACTTGATACTTTTTTTTCCTAAATAGACAGTCTTTACATTAGCATTAATGAAACTTTTGTTTTCTACCAAAATTAACATCATGAAGCAGGCACACTTGAAACTGAACTAACCTAACAGGGTACTAATATGTCCTGCATTCAGTAGAAAGCTGAGTTCTGTGTGTCTTTTTTCTTTTTTCTTTTTTCTTTTTTTTTTTTGGAAAGGTACGAAGAATAGAGAGCCAGGAAATATGTTTCCTGGAGAAGCTTAGCTTCTGTTGTTTCTGCTATAACTAGCTCTTCAAAGACCTCTTATAATTTACTGAGATCTTTTTCACGTACAGTTCTCCCTTCTTAGCCCCAAATTCATTACAATAATTTTAAAGATAGGTGGTCACATGTAGTTAACATGTTGAGGGCTTGCACACATACACACAGCCAATAAAGTTGCTATTTGCTCCTTGCTGCTCTCATTCAGAGCTGTTCTTCCTTGATTCCTCTGTTTCTATTAGCGCCATTTTAGTGTACAGCAAACATTGGATATGTGTGCATGAATAATTATGTGCTCAGAGAGACTACGCGTCCTGTTAGTTAGTCTTGTAAAACCTCAGGTCTCTTCTTGCAGCTTATGTTCTGTGGAGGTGTGCTGCAGGACTCCTCAAAAAGAGAGTGGAGGCCATATGAGCTGCAGTGGTGTACCCTGGCTGCCGAGTCTCTCTGTAGCTGGAGACCTGTAGTGCGCCATAACACTGCATGGGCTGCAGTTCTTGTGAGATTGTCATTAACAACACTGCTTTTTCTCCCTTAACAGCTTGAATTGTTATGCATAAAGTTTTAAGTGGCATGTGAGGACCAAACTTCTGCTATTTTAGTGCAACATTAGAGTTACCCCCTTTTCTAGAAGACAGCACAAGTTGACACCACTTCTCATTCATGGCCCTCCAACGTATTGCTTAAGCTACTTTCGGATTTAGTGTAGGTAATGGCAGCCCATCTCACTGTATCCTAGGTAACATGTATGTACTCAAAATCATTGAGTCTGCACTTAGTGACGGTACAGAAATTGACAGCAGATCAATATAATAACGCCACCAGAAACTGCTATGTTCTTTGGGATTGTCTGGATGTGATCCAAAAGTCTATTGTAAATTCAAAGAAATATATCTGCTAAATCAATCTAGAGGTGAATGAAAGCAAAATAAAGTTAGAAGGTATACCAAGAGGAGTTTGGCTGTATCTGACCAGCATGAAGCGCGCTCCATTACTTTCTCCTTTCAGAAACTGACCCATTCTTCTCAAGTGATGGAAGAAGGAAGTGAAAAATGGGGCAAGGGAGAAGGGTGGAATTAGGGCAAAACATGTTTCTGAAGATAACAGGACAAATACATTGCATCCTTGAAAAGATGTTTATAAATGTATCGGTAGACTAATTTTCCTTAAAGCTGTTTTTTATTGGTTCCTGCCCCCCTCCCAAATAAGGAACCCATAATAATGTTTTGTGCCTATTTCAAATTGCATGGTTAAGAAGTTTGGCATGCCGGCTGATGGCTTAGTTACAGTAAGCAAGGACCAAATAACAGATTGCTAGCTTTTTTTAAGCTAAGCCGTATTATAAAACACTAAGGCATTTCTAGGAGTGGAACAATAAACACAGGATTAGCTGTGATTCATGTTCTCAGGATGAAATGCTCTTTTACTTTTAATTTATATATATATATATATATACATCCTGCAGACAAAAGATAATTTCTGGATGTTGGCAGTGTCTTGTCTTATGAATAAGTCATGAACAAGCATGTTGTATCTAATTTCTTTGGAATATCTTTTTAATGTGATTGCAGACGTATCGTTAGCACAGTTGAAAAGAGCAGACAGAAGTATAAGCCAGCTTCCCTCACGGTTGAGTTTGTCCCTTTCTTTTACCGTAAGTATTGCCACTGGCATGTTTGAAAATGGTCATCTGTGCCGTAATGAACTTACTGATTTCAAGTTCCATTCCACTAAGAATGTCTGATAAATAAAAAAGCCTCTTGCTTTCTTTCTGAGGCTAAATGAAGTGGGTTGCTTTGCTTGCTTGGTTTTGGCTCTTTGTAGTTAAAAATCTGGCTTTGAGTATCACCATCTTGCCATCCTTATTTGTGGTATTTTGGTCTCTGAAAGTCTGGCTTTTTTTCCGGACTTTTTTGCAGTGTCTACCGTGGTTTGCTAGCGTTGGTTTTGTGAATTGCCAGTTTTCCCGTTTATTATGGAGCATATAGCAATTATACATAAGATCCCTGTAGCAACTATATTGATAACTATGCATGCGTTTCTGTCTCTTAATATGATTTAGCAGCTAGAAACAAGGAAAGTCGGTACCATACGACTGGCAAATGCTCATTAGACCACAGTTTGTGAAACTGCTCTGTTTTTCCTCTGGTTAAGTCATTAAAGTATCGTGACTGCTGCTTTGGAATTCATGCGCTCTTACCATTGCAGGCTTGCTGAGCGGAAAAGGAAGACTCGTGTGACCATATTCTGTCATACTTAAATCTAGCTTAGATAGCAGCCTTTTCAAGCACTAATATGCATAACTGTTAGAGACTTGTGTTGGTTAGGCATGGTTAACTTCTGTCTTCTGTACCCTTCCCTTCTATGTTTTTTTTTTTTGTCCTATGAACTTGCAGCAAAAAGTTATTTTATAGAATTGAATTTATATTAAAACAAAAAACCACCCCGGTATTTGCCAATGAGACTAGGCTGTCGCTGCTTTTCTGCTCTGTTAGTGTCTGCTCCCAGAATGGCTGGATCCCTGTTGAGAATGGTGCTAAAGACCTGTGACTAGGACTTGACCACATGTTTAACAGCTGTGCTGAACTGGGAATTAAAAATGTTCCCTTACATGAGACTGGGGGGTGGAACGGGTTGTCCTGTTGCCAAGTTCCTGAACTGCCGTCAACCTTCCCTGAATAGAAGAGAATTTCTTTCCTCAGTGCTTGTACAAGGGGATTGATGGTTGAGTGACTGATAGAATTAGCTGCTGTTGTTGCTCCTGCAAGGCTAAGAGTAATCTCCGTGTGAGTCACAGTCGAGTTAGCCTAGCTAACTGGGGAACAAATCAGAATTTCAAGAAGGGGAATGTAAAGCAAATAACGTTGTCTGAAAGTACTGTCACCCTCGGGGGAGACTGTTCTTGTATATGTAAAAATAATACCCTACGGTGAGGTATGGAGAGTGCAGGCTCACCTTGCTGGTTAAGCCGGTGTAGTGGCTAGCTGTTTCCCCGGGGAGCTGAGCCAACAAAACACTGCGTTTGAGGAGAAATTGCAGAGGGAAAGGTGGGACGTCCAGCTGGTTTGCTTCCAGCCCTGCTGAGAGCCCTGACGTGCTTCGCTCTTGACGTAATCAGTCAATGCCAAGGGAATGGAGGCAGCAGGACATTGGCTGCAGAGGTAGGGTGAGGGGAACCGGCCCTGTCTGCGGCTGGCCCCTAGCTCAGCTTGGCTTTAGTGTCAGATAGCATCTGAAGAGATGATGTGGAATTAAAAATAAAAAGGCAGGTTTTACTCCTGGCATGGTGACAGTCAAGAGTTTGGTTTCTCTGGGTTTCTCTTGCATCCTTCACTGCAATAAACCTGATTTTCCACCTGCTCGTTGTGATGCCCTTCTCCACGTAGATAAACAGGCCAGCAGCTGGAAAGAACAGACAACTGAGGCCAGTGAAACGCCATTGCCTTTGTGCCAGAGCGCTGGGGACCCACTCTTAACGGCGGCAACTGAGGAGCGCCATCCAAAGGAGCTCTCCTCCCCGCTCGCTACCCCTGCATTACCCTCCGATTCCTCCGAAATCCCTTAGCTATCATATACCGTGACTGCGCTGTGGCCATGTGAATTGGCTGGCGGATAATGGAACTGGCAGAAGAAATGGAGCAGAAAACTGTTGAGTTTATGCTGTAGACTTCCTTGCCATGGCAGCACCCATTTGGGTCTTTTTCTCTCCACCCACCTAATGATTAATTTCTTCCCCCCCATGCCCACTGTCCGCTAGGTGTTGCGCTATTGAATTTATCTGAAGTTTCCCAAAAGGTCCAGAGCTGTAAGTTAAGGGAGTGTTTGGACCAGCAGACTAACACTCTGATCGTTTAGGCTTTTTTTTCTTCTTTGAAGACAAAGGTTTAAAAACAGCCGTGCAAGTTTCTGTTAAAGCAGAGTTATACATTCAACATGTCAATTTGGTAGCTGACATAAAGATTCTTATCTTTAAAATGCTAGGGTTTTATATTCATTAAAACTTCTGTTGCTTGTTGAAAATCTCAGTTTAAAAAAAAAACAAGTCATTAACAGACCTAGCTTATAACATTCCTGGGAGTTTTTTCAGTTGCTAATCCCAGTAAAATACTACTTTGTAGTTTCAGTTGCAGCTACCTTGAGTCTAGGTTATTATTGCTATAGCAACAACATCCATGTTGATATCTATTGCTAAGAAGAGTTTCTGAGGCTGTTTATAAGTAATTTACATCAGAGATGGCATGAGAAGAGATACAAGATAATTATCTTTAAATAGCCTATGCTGGAAAGGTTACACACCTGCACAGACTTTCCTGGAAAATTTAGTTTGGGAGCAAGTTCAGGCACCGTTTTGTCTGACCCACGTGCACTGGGTATGCCTTGAGCCTTTTTGTGCTGTAACCGCTCTAAACTTTGTCGTGTCTCTTAACTCTCCAGCTTGCATGTTAGTGTGTCCTTATATTTGTTAGCAGTATGGACAAAATGAGCTAATCTTACATTATGGATCAGATCAGCAATTGCTGTATCTTTATAGTCCTGTCAGGTTGCATGAAACTCTGCTGTTCTTTGGAAGTTGGTCTGGCCCTGTGAATTCCTGATGAGTGTAGTATTGTCACGTGACTTTGATAACACTGGGACTGATGTGTTTGCATCAATTTGTTATGATTTTGTTTGAGATTCAAGTTGTGATTCAACTTATGTTAAAAAAAAAAAATTAAAAAGATTACGTAGTTGAAATTTTGTTTAAAACTTGTATGATAAGGAATAGTGGAGCTTCTTTTTAATTGCTTCAGCATTTTTGCTGGAGGAAAACTCTTTCCTTGTTTCAATCAGAAAACTTTCAAGAAAGTGAACATCTCAAGGAAAGCCTCAAATGTTGCTTGCTGCATCTCTTTGGAGCTATTGTGGCTGGTGGTCAGGTAAGGATGTTCTAAACTCCTTTCAGCCTCTGAAGCCTCCAACCTTCTGTTCACTGTTTAAGGCTTGTAGCTTATGGGAAATGTATAAATGAGAGATTTCTTGCTGCATATGGGTTAGTTGTTTGTCTTGTGAAGTTTGGGGCCATTTTGTGCAATAGTATCTAAATGCTAAAAGCTAAGTCAATTAGCAGTGGAAAACTGCTGTCTGCAATAACAAAATATTCATGTGAACTTGGTCATATTTTCACATCATAAAAAATGTAAGTAATTGTGGTAACAGTTTCTACCTGCAAAGATGCAAGTTTTATGTCAACCCTCGAAATATATCTAGCTTACTTCTCAATGTGGGGAGTAAGCTAATCAGCGGGAGGTGCAGAGTCTTCATGGTCGAAAGTAATTTGACATCTTTGAAAGACTGTGGAGAAAAGAGGATCTCTGAAAAATGCTAGTTCCTCATCAGCAAAGCCAGCACCTACTCCGAGCGACTTTTGTAACGTTCCACTTAACATCTGCTTGTGACCAGACTTACTTCTGGTGATCCAGAGGAGAGTGGTTTTTACGATGTTGTCAGGGAGCGGCGAGGGTAGGCACTGCTCTGCAAGGGAAAGTAAGCTGGGGGCCAAACATGGCAACTTGACAGGCAGAGGTGGTCAGCCACACTGAGAAGAGACGCAACCCCACTGTACTCGAACAAGGTGAGCAGAGCAGGTCCAGTGATAGAAGCCAGGGTTGACCGGTAAAAATCACCGGGCAAGACCACAGTGACAAAGCCTGAGATCAAGCTAGGACATCCAATTGCGACATCAGGGTCAGGATTCAGTCTAGTGATGGTAACCAGAGTCAGCCAAGAGTTCAGTGGTAGTGAGGTACATCCATGTGGTAATGAGGCAGGTTCAAGGTCAAGCCAGGCTGTCGGATTTGTGGGTCAGGCTCAAGAGGGTACATGGCCAGGCATAGGCATGGCTGTAGCATGGCTCAGGCGGGGACCTGAGATATGGAGACGCAGCTTAAATGCAGCTCCTGAGAGAAGGCAGGGAGCCCCTGCTGAGGCTTCTCACGGCTCCTCAAGGCTCAGCCTTGCACCTGGTTGACAGTGGCTGGGACGCAGCACGTGTGGGGGGGGGGGGGGGGGAGAATGTACTCAGGGCTCTGACAAGTGTTTGCTAATTATTACTTTTTTTTTTTCCAAATTTTGAAGTATTATGAATCTGTGGCTATGTGAAAGGAAGGACTGAAAGAGAAATTTCAAGTGAAGGTTTGTTTAGAATTGGCAGAGTTTACTGAGGCTGCCTTATAAGAAATGTCATTTAAATGAAAGTTATAACATCCATTTACGTTTTATATTATCTTTACGAAATTACTCTTCTCTGTAAGCATTCTCTTTGAAAAACAGCCTAATTAAATGAATAAGATGGGCAGCACTTAATCTGTAGCAATCAGTATAATCCAGGTAGAATGTTTAGTAGCTATTTAACAATTACAATGCATAAAGTAGGACAGATACAGTGTTGTATCTTGCGTGGTTCAGATGACTCAAATAGAAACTATTGGTTTGGAGAGGTTTGGTGGTGGGTTTTTTTTTTTTTTAAGTCTTTTTTTTTTTTTTTTCCTCCCCCCATGGATTTCAGAGGAACGCTCTTCAAGCAGTATCTCCTGCCACCATGGAAGTCTTGATGCGTGTTTTAGCAGACTGTGACAACTGGGATGACAGGAACCCGGAGGAAGTGAGCAGGAAGGCAGAGCTGACTCTGAAGTGCCTGACAGAAGTTGTCCATATCCTTCTAACCAGCAGTTCTGACCAGCGGCAAGTGGAGACCAGTACAATATTGGAGAACTATTTCAAGCTGCTTAATTCAGACCATTCAGCTTTACCTAAGGCAAGGCGATGTAGGCAGTGGGAGAAGAGGTTCATAGCACTACAGGTCCAAATGTTGAGTGAGTATCCAACTGAACAGTTCCTTTAAACGTCTCTTGATAGTAACTCAGAAACAAGCAATGATTGAATTGTTAGTGATTTAAAAAGTGTTCCCCAAATAAAGGTTCTTTGCTGTCCAAGTGAAAAACTTCAAACGCTTCTCGTTGATGTTACTTTTAACGTTCTTGTTTAATGATTCATTACAAAAAAAAAAAAAAAAACAGAAGGAAGTGTACCAGATTGCTACCATTTAACCAGAGCATCAAGGTTCAGGGACTGGAAAGGAAGAAGTTACAAATCTAGCACCTCTCCCAGTCTCCCCTTTAAAAACAACAAACAAACAAAAAATTGCTAGGTAACAGCTGCCACTCATCAGTACCTTGATAACTGCAGATTAAGAAGGATTTGTAAGAAGATACCACCACATGATGGCACTTTTGTTCACGTTGCAAATGGCATTATTGTAAAACATTGGCCAAAGATGATGGTTTTAACCATAGGCCCTAAGTCGTTGTATAAGCGTTCAGGATTTGGAGCGGTCTCCCCTCCTCCCCCCAGCCCCCGGCTTTGATATTTCAAATGGCAACAATAAAGTTATTTCCTTTCCCAAATCTTCAAGAAAACTGGGGAGAGAAGTACTGAAGGGATGAAGAATGCTTATAATGTCAGGCTGTTGCAGAATGCAGAGGCATCAACTGATGAGAAAGCAAGTGTCTGAGAGTGCTTTTAGGGAAGGAGAAAAAAATGCTGCTTATGTTCTTGCAAATGGCATTGACTTTAAACAGAGCCCTAAAGCAATCAAAGATATTTGGGAGCTGAATTTTTCTCCAGATATAGTAGGCTATGTGATAATTTGCATCAAAATGTTTAGGTTTAGGCCTAGTGCTCTGTGCTAAAATGCACATCATTTGTAATTGAAAAATTTAGAGCTTGTGGTTTTATTTTTTTCCATGTTGGCTTTGTACCATTTCTTAATCCTTTTCAAAATGTAACATGGAGGAAAAATGCATGATGGATTTGGGAAGTGTTCTGTCTCTGATGCTAGTTCTGTTTTGATTTTTGTAGACACCATCACAGCCATGTTAGACTGCACAGATAGGCCTGTTCTGCAGGCAATTTTCCTTAACAGTAACTGCTTTGAGCATCTCATTCGACTGCTGCAGAACTGCAAGGTAAAATTTCCCTTATCAGCATATCTTTAACAAAACGTTATCCTTTTTGTAATACTGCATAGTTATCTTTATATGTTTCTTTCTAAGTTAGATACAATGTGTAGTGTTTATATGCATGAAGTAGAACTTTGGCTTGGTTAGAGCCAGTAATGCCATGAAAGATCTGAAAGGGAATTGCCTCTAAGTTCTTTTTTTCTAGCAAAGTAGAAGTGTTTCTCACCTTCCTTGCGATACAGTGATTCCGAGTCCTTTTGAGTAAAATACTTTTATGGATGCTGCTTTGACCCTAAATTTTAAGGTGATTATAGAAATCCCCCTCCCCCCCCCCTCCTTTTTTTCCTATAAATATGCTGTCGCTGGATTGCTGGGAAGTCGCTTACAACTGCCGCCAGATGGAGGCCTGAGTTGAATTTCAGAGACGTATTTTCCAATTAAAAAATAAAAACAAAAAAAACCCCACCTTTCTGGTATGCCTTTGTAAATGTTTCAGAACATTTGATAGTTAGTCCTATGTAGCTAATGTAAAAAATGAGCCCAAGGTGTTACAAATGCACTTCTTGAATTGTTCTTTCCTAGGTAGGATATAGCATTCACATAGCTGTACGTAGGCAGTATGTTTTCCTCTTAATCCCAGATGGTCATACTTTGTAAGCCAGTGCCTTCCACTGAGTGTTTTGTAAATTTTGTACTTTGCCATTCAAAACACATAGATAAGACTTAACTCTCTGGAACATTGTATTTCTGTTTGTTGTTATGCTGAGCTCGTCTAATACTAAATAATTTAGTGCTAGCTGCAGTATTTAATTTGATTCAAATCCATTTAGATTAGAACATATTTCAATGCAGCTATATTTTGAAAATGCATATGTCTGGATTGTGACTAAATTGTAGTTATAATCAATGGCAGAATGCCAGTTGGAAGTGTTTTGTGTAGTGTTTGTGGTGGCTTTTTTATTTTTTTTTCCTTCGTTTGTTTTTCAGTCTTGCTGAAAATACCTTATGTTTGACCTTTCCATTTTATTTCTCTGTTTGGGAATCTGTGCCTATTTTTGTACTGACCTTGTCCTCTACAAGAAACTCCTTAAATCATGGAGAAGTGAGATGTTTGCCTGCTCATGGGAGTCTCTGGCTTTGCTTTTGCTGCCATTTAAACAAATGGGATTTAGAACTAAAGAAAGCCGGAGCGCTCGCTCTGTTTCTGCAGCTTGCTCCCTTCGTTTTTACTCTGTCTGTATTTCATATGTTAAGACATGTTCTTTTGAGGGTTTTTTCTTTTGCTGAAGGGTTTTTTTTTTTGCCTCACACATTACTATTTTCTTGATTGGGTATCAATGCTGTCAGTTTGCTACGTAGTGGTTAAAAAAAAAAAACTTTTAAAAACCTTTTTTCAGTCAAAATATCCACAAAGATGGCAGCAGGGGGCTGGAGGGGGTGTTTGTGTTTGTATTTTCATTTTTCAGTATAGTATAGCACCTTTACTTTGAAAGCCAAATTGCAAAGATGAGTTTAGCTGTGGAATTAGGGTTTCTTCTAATTAGCCATGCGGGGTTGGGGGTGGATCCTATTTCTGAATCTCTTCTTCCTTACCTGTGAAAAATCTTTCTTGCCGCTGCATCCACCAGCAAGCTGTTTAAAGCACAGCTCTGCAGCACCGCAGGTAGCAGGAGAGCCCAGGCACGCTGTATCTGAAACTCGGGAAGCTATTGGATTTTCAGCAAATCTGGAGAGCAAGACTTTTTCATGGAAAGGAGGGGTAAAGAAAAAACATGCTACCATTTCTGCTACGGATATCCCCAAATACTTGGGGTATTCAGGCACATACTTCTGGTCTTATTTAAAATTATTTGCTGGTTTTGATGGTTTCAAGGCTTGCGGACAAACTATACGGTAGGGTTAAAAATCTGCACAAGAGCATTTCAGAACTGCTTGATTAAGTCTTGGTAATCTAAATGTTGCCTGTTGCCTTTTGCCTTTAACATCCAAGACGGACGAGTGTATTTTACAGGGATTTATTCTATGCTAAGAGCCATTTAACTATGTGCTTTATAGGTCCTGAATCTCTTCTATGAAACTCTCTTAGAGATCAGACTTTGAGCAAAGCACGGTTACCTCTAGCAATATCCTTGGTTGAGAAAACATGATTGTCTGAGCAGCTTTAAGATAGAAGAATTAAAGCCATGTGGGCACTTTAAAATTTATTTTTCTTTTTTTCCTTACTTCAGTTTTGATAATATATGTCGTAACTCATCTGGGGAAAAAAAGCTTTATTTTTTGCAAGTCTGCGTTTGTACCTGTTTGATGTTCTTACATCCAGTTGTTGAAACATTCTGGGGTATATTGTAGCTATCCTGCAATATTAAGTGCTCTTGGGTGTATTGTATCTTTCAAATTGCTTTTATGTATGCACTTTCACATCTATGTAAGTCAAAGTAGTATCTTACTTAGATGGTGTCCTTCTGTTTGCCCTCGCTTATGAAGGTAATTTCTTAGATTGCCCCACTTCAGAGATGACACCTAACAGAAAATATAACAAAACAGTTTAGGAAAAAATGGCAAATGCTTAGTTTTTACCTGCTGAAGGGGAGTGTTTTCCCTTTTTTAGAAGGGACTTTTTAAAAGTGTTGATGAGAATTTTTTTTTTTTTAAAGTGTCTCTTTAGAACGTAAAGCAGAAGAGGATAAATTTCAGTCGTAATTGGACGATGCCTAAAGTCAGCGCAAAAAGTGACCGCAATAGAATATGAGGATATTCGAGTGAGCTTTAAACTTGCAAATTCAGGCACTGACCAGGAATCTAGCCACCATACACAGAGCAATTTCTTAACTATAAATGCAGTATAGGTGGTATATGTTCAATGTAAAGGTATTTCCAACCTGTCAGACAGCTAGGGCCATGGCACAGATATCTTACTCCTGTCTCCTATCTTAAAGGCCCCAGAAATTTTGCTACTGTTGCTGTTCCAGATGTTCTGTCTAGGTGTCTTCAGCCTTTACTTAGGATGAAACAAGTGGAAAACAGTGAGGCATCTGTATCCATTTCTTTACTAATGCCTCACTGTTGTCTTTATTTTTAACATGTCATGTTTCCTACTGTAAACGAAATAGCAAATGCTAAGTCAGTGACCAGTACAACATCTAACTAGATATGTTTCCTTGTCTCAACATTACATATGTTGATTTAATGCTGGAAAAGAAAAATTCAGTTACTATATAGCAATAATATAATGTAATCTTCAGTACTGTAAGAATTAACAGGAGTCTAATTAATGGAGGATTGCGTCTTACCTGTGTGAGATCTCACTTCTATGTGAAATGTAAGTCGAAGGCAGCTTCCGCAGGTTTAGCTGCAGGTAACGGTTTAATGCAATTATTTCCATTATTCTTGTCTCTAACAGCTGTTTTTAAATGCTAACAATAAAGTGGCAGACAAGAGTGAAAAAGACCTTGCCAACAAATTACTGACAGAAATGAATGAGGACCAGGTACCTACTTAACCTGTATTTTGCCTCACTTGAAGTCAAGACACAATAACAGGAAAATTGATTCCTGTGCTTCACCTTAACCATCTTCTTTAAACCTCCTGCAGCAAGTTGAACTTGTGCTGCTGTACAAATCAGTATTTCCTGTCTGTGGAAACTAATCTTTTTTTGATTAACAAATGGAGTTCAACTTCAGTTCTATTTATCTGCTTCAAGTTCCAGATATTTGTGGTAGATTGACCCTTAGTTATACCTCTTTTATCTTGAGGAAGGTGAAGTACATGAATGGAATCCAAATTCTATCCACCTGGTGGTGATTTTTTTTTTTCCTCCTCCCCCCCACCCTCCTGCTTTCCTCTCTTTTGCTTCTTTGTTTCAGCACTGTGGCGTTTTGGATTTTGGGGCTTTGTGAATCTATGGTTGTATTTGGTGTCCTGATTCTTTGCTTGTCATCAAGAACAGATGTTCACAAAACAGTGAACAGGCTGAATCTGCTTTAATTTTTCTGTAATATCATGAAAAGCATCAAATGCAAATTGTTATTAATTTTATAGTAGAGTGACCTTTTTCATTAAAAAGGTAATGAAATGCTAAATTGTAACTGGTAATCTAAGAATCATGATTCTAGCTAATAGCTTTGGCTTTTTTAGACGCTCAGTGTTAGGATCTATCTGCATGTAAACATTTCTGCACTTCTAAGTCTACTGATTTTTGACATTTCATTTTTCAAAATGTGTCTGATATGCAGTATATTATTTCAGGGATAATGAAACGGAGTACACTTATTTGTGTAGTTCCGCTCGTCTGCATAGTTCTACTCATACTCTACTCCACTTTACTGATGGACATAAGATAAAGCTCCAATGTTTTTTGTCCTTAAAACCACCTGAGAAATATCAGTATAAACGAGAGTTAGTGGGGGGAAGGGAGAACCCCCGAGACAACTTAAAATTGGAGAAAGATGTTGATCTCTTGGAAAAAGAGGTGCTGATCACTGCGATGAGTATATGGGTGAAGAAGCCACCTTACTGTACTGGTGTGACTGGTCTCTTAATTTGTGCGTGCATCGCATTGGTATGTAGGAAAAACATTCCTTTGCATGGAAAAGAAAACACTTTACGTGGACTGCAAACACCCGATTGCAGCACCCACACATGCTGCAAGAGGTTGCTTGATTTGTTTCCCTCCCTCTTGAGGTTGCCCGTTAGCCGCATGAGGAAAGCCATTTTGTCGGAACGTTTGAAATGCAGCGTGTCTTGTGAGTGCTTCTCTGCTCCTCTTGAAGTGTGTGGCTAGATGTCTGCTATGTGTTCTTTCTAGTAGGTTGTGGTGTTATGAAATCCTTTTGGTGGGGAGATGATTTTTCAAGCATAGTTTTTTTAAAAAAAAAAAAAAAAAAAAACGCACTCTTGATTTTCATCCCAACAGGCGGGCACAGTATAGCACTTGGAGCACAACTGTCTTTGCACATTTATATATAACATTTGTTCCTGCTACTTTCAGGTGTTTCAGGGACACCTAGATTGCTTGGCAGTATCAACCATTCAAGCCCTCACAGCAGTAATGCACAAGTCTCCAGCTGCTAAGGTAACAGTATATACACAGAGGTCTCCTTGTGAATCTTGCCTTCAGTTAGTGTTTTAACTGCAAAATCTTGAGGAATTTTGCTAATGAAAACAAGCGACTTATGGGCCCTTATTCCTTGCCAGATAGGGACAGCAGATCTGCTTCCCTTATCCCTTTATTTATTTTTAATGGTGGGATACTGAGCTATCTTTATGTCAAAATTGGAAGATCAGAGTGTTAATGGTAGTTGGAAATTTTATGAAGCGAGTACAACATCGTTACTTGTCTCAAGAGTATTTGGGGAGAAATGAAGGGGTATTTGCAGAAGATAGCTTCAGGCAGGAGTGTTTGGTGTAGTCTTACCACGGGTTTAGACTTATGCAGGATAGTATTGCTGTCCAAACTGGGGTCCTGCCATTCCCCTGCCCTTCCTTTGCAGTTGTTCTTGAGGTTTGGTAAATGGTTAGTTTGTGAATCTGACTGGAAATTAAGCCCCAGGAAAATAACGGATTTATTCTTAGATTGAGTTCATTAGTTTCATCTTGTGGTTGAATGATTCCTGGTCTTGGCACAGGGAAAGGGGAGGGACTGCACAGTGGAGGCCAAGGGAAGGGGTGAATCATCTGCTTCGGCTGCTGCTTGCACTTAGAGCAGTCCAGTCTGTGTGTGAAATGACAGGGTAAATTAGGCTCCTCTAGAGTTTAATTCAGAGTGCTTATTTCTCCACTGACTCTGGGGAGCCTGGGAAGAGTTGGATAGTAGGGATGGGGAGGAGGATTGGTTGTAATTCATAAAGGCTCAATCAAGTTTTCAACTGTGCCTCTGCTGGCACATATGCTACTTTTTTTTTTTTTTTCTTATTTACTTAAGCAATTATCTCACTTTTACTGACAGCTTAACTCATTTAAAAAAGATTTAAATTTAAGTACAGAATAATCAGGGAAAAAAGTACTCATTTCATCCAATGTGTTGGCTGTTTACTAACTAAAAAATAAATGGGTATTACTGTTTGGATTCACTGCTTGAATTTTTTTCTTCATGTAAAAATGATTAGTTTTCAGAAAAAAATTCCTGCAACACTTTTGTAATTTGAGAAATGTTTAGGATGGGTTGCTTTTAATCAAGCTGGTCTAAAAATCTTTCACTCAAATATTAATATCTGAATACTTTAGGTTCTGAACCTGGTCATTTCATTTTGTGGTATAGTTTGCATTTAAAAGTAAAACTTAGTATTTTGTGTTAGATTTACCATTTTGAATATACTAAAGCAATTTATATGAGGGATTTTTATATGTGTAATTATTAAAATAGAGCTTTAATGTTTTTGTATATCCACCTACTGCAATGAGATCTCTTACTCATCTGCAGCACACTAAAGAATGCACAATAGGCATGTTATCAAGTAGAAATTTCTAGCCTGTAGAATTACTTTTGCATCCTAATTTTATGTCTAATATTTATGTTAAATGAGAACCTGTTACAGTAGACAAGCAATCTGTCTGTTTCGTTTATTAATGAGATGGGCGTTTTTATCCTCAGGAGGTCTTCAAGGAAAGAATTGGTTATGCACACATATACGAGGTACTAAAGTCGCTAGGTCAGCCCTCCCGGGAACTGCTGGAAGAACTCATGAATATGGTGAGATGTGCTTGCTTTGAATGCTGTCTAAAATGCTTGGGTGGATTTGATAGTATTTCTAATATATTTCCTTATGTTTCACCTTTGAGTTCTCTGCTCTCTTCCAGGCTGTTGAAGGTGACCACATGGCTGTTGGGTTACTGGGCATTAGTAATGTCCAGCCCTTACTACTGCTTATCCAGTGGCTTCCAGAGCTAGAGTCACCTGATCTGCAGATTTTCATCTCAAGTTGGTTGCGGCGAATCTGTTGTATTAACAGGCAGAGTCGTGCCACGTGTGTCAACGCGAACATGGTCATCCGTATCATTGAGACATTAAATTCTCACTCCTCGCTCCATAGCTCTTGTGCAGAGAATCTGATTGCTCTTCTGGGCTCTTTGGGGAGCCAGTCTATGGGCTCGGAAGAACTGCTCCGACTAATACGGCTCCTGAGGACTGAGGAACCAAAACAGGCTCACCCTTATGTTGTGCCAGTGATGCGAGCCATCCTAGCAATGGCCCGAAAGCAGGGCATGGCGAGTGCCTTGCAGTATTTCAACTTGTACCACAGTATGGCGGGAATTGCTGTTCCATCAATTCATAAGTGGCCAGGCTCTGCATTTTCTTTCAATGCTTGGCTCTGCCTTGACCAAGACCAAGTGACTCCTAGCACGACTAGCAAAAGTAGCAAGAGGAAGCAACTTTATAGGTACGGTTACCATAACTACTTCAACAGAAAAATCTAGGTCGTGTCTTCCCTGTGGCATATGATACCCTGCGATATGTGATACTTATGCTTATCTTCATAGCACAACATATAGCCCTTAGCTCAGTTTGAGGAAGGGGGTCATCTGTCGCCAAGGCCAGACAACGTTACAGAAATAACCGTGGCGTTTCTCTGTTTTAATGCATATTGCAACTGTAGATAGGAAAGCATAACTCTAAATCATGTTAAAATTAAGATTGATTAAGGTATGTAGCTTAAACAGCCCAAAACAAAACAGCCTTGCCGTTGCTTCCTGTAAGGGTAGAGGAGTCTCTCTTCTGTATGAGAGCGCAATGAAAAGGACTTCTTTGTTATCTTAAATAGACATCGACCTGGTTGGTTCTTGGTAGCGTATATAAGAGTGGTATAACCTTCTCTGGGTTCTAATGTTCAGTAGCAAACAAAACGCCGAACGTGGCAATAGCACTTGAAGAATCGCCCCATTCGATCCATTCTACTGCAGTGCATTTTCAGGGGAAATGTTGGCAAATGCAATTTTGATCAGAACAGAATAAATATTTTCCAAGGCCCCATATCTTAGAGTGTTACTTCTGTTTATTAATAAACCATATTAACAAATGGAAGCCCTTCAAGTTTCTGTAGCTCCGTTGTGCATTTGTATGGCACAGTCTTGGTGAAGGGTGCCATCTACTGAACTGCCACAACGCTGTTTCCAGAGGTTGGTTTGTTTTTTTTAGTCAGTGTCCCCCACTGAAAATCTGAAGTAGACTGCCAAGCTCTAGAAAACTGTGGTCGGATTACATTATAAAGTAAAAAAGCTGCAATTGATTTTGATAACGATGCTGGTACAGCAATAACTGACCAGGTTTATATCATTCTGTTTATAATTTTGAAGAGATTATTCTAGAGTTTGTGAAGTTAAAACTGTGTTGTCCTCTGTGTCCTTCCCATTGATTGCAAATAGTTATGGGATTTTGGAATAGTTATGGATTCTGTACTGGAAAGATGATATGTAGTTAATATGAAAAAGGAGAAATATTTAAAATTTCAGTTTCAGCTTAAAATTTTAAGCACACAACTGAATTAAAATCATGAAAACGGTCTCGTTTTTATGCTCTATGGTATTTAATTGTAAAACAGCTCACCTCCACTAAGACTGTATATTCATAGTATTTGTGTGCATGTATTAGATATTTGATAGTCCAGTAAAGTTGGTTTTTTCCCCACTTGGAGTAATGATACTTGAGGGAGTGTAGCAGTTTTTGATGGCAATTCTCAGTGTTATATAAAACTTGTTTGTATTCATGTGCTTAAAAATGAAAGGTTTCTCAGGGTAAATCTGTGCTAGCAGGGCTTATTTGTAGTTAGCTGTTTACAGCTGATCCACTTTGTTATGCTGAGTGAAATAAGATGCATAACAATTACTGTGTTTATGAATCTTTGTTTTGCACTAGGGTTCTTGCTGATAAGCAGTCATGGAAAAAAGTATTCCTTAAATGACTCTTACTGTCTCATAGAACAGTCTTAGATTTGCAATAAAATAAAAAATGCCAACTTTGTGCATCTTCTAAAAGAGTCTCCTTTTGCTACTTAAGTTTTTAAAATAAAATCTTTATGTAGAAGAATATGAAGTGAAACGGAGGAAATGCATGAATGGAGAAAACATAGGTAAATACTGTAACAATAACATCACCTAACTATGTGCAATACTGGCAGCTTTACCAGGAGCTGAAGGGCATAATTTAACTAATAGAAAACAGTGCAGGTTGCAGGCCAGTCCCTGCTTTACTACAGTTGCGTAGCTTCCAGAGACTACAGGGAGCAGCGTTTTGTAGGGGAGCCAGCTTAAGCTGCCCAGCTCAAACTGAAGCCTTGCACGTTGGGAGCAAGGCTGTCCCTTCAGTTAAAAGGTGAATGGCTAGAAGGTGCTTTGCAAGCTTTGTGGACTACCCTTGGCCTGTGCGGCCTGTGCCTCGGTCTCTTCCTTGGGGTAGTTCTTGATCTTGTTCTTTGGAACAAAAATAACAGCTGGAGACCCTCACACTTGTTAGATGTTTGACCGGCAATGAACAACTCAAGTTGATTCTCTCTTTCATGAGTTGTACTGTTAGGTGGCTTCCAAAAGTTTTGATGAACTATGGCCTTGATTGTGTGTCGTGTTTTTTGTCTTTTTCTGTAGCTTTTTTACAGGAAGTGGTATGGGTTTTGAAGCCTTCATAACATACTCTGGGGTATTGGTGGTTGCGGTTTGCACAAAGAGGGAATACGCAACAGTGATGCTGCCTGACCATTGTTTTTGCGACTCTCTCTGGGTAAGAGTCGTATGATACTGAAGAGCACTTTGTTTTAGACAGAATACTGTTAGCTCAGAAGTCACAAGTTATGTATATAACTACTATATAAATATATATATATATAAAAAATATGTGTAAGCATATATTTAAATATATGTTAATATATGCACAATGTAAATATTAATTAGATGTTATATATAATTAGTGGTTGATTGAGCTAAATTATGCCTATGCTATTAAGGCTACTGTTATTGATAATATCACTATAGTGTTGTACTTGGAGCTTTTATTTTATATGCAGAGTTTTAAAGTTAAATTGAGCGTAGATGGCTGTGGGGCTACACGAAATAAATGTTAACATGTTGTTACTGCGTTTATGCCTTGCCCTTTTCTCTTCATGTACTTAAGAACTGCTATGTGTTATGAAAGAACTGCATCCCTTTTCCTCCAAAAACCTGTTTAAATGTAAACTACTTTAAAACAGAAGCAGTTGACAGATGACTTTATCTTCCTGCTGATGCTTTGAATTTATTTTCTGAAGTGCTTTTTTACGTGGCTTTCCCACCAGATTAGTAATGCTGAAGTTAAGTACTAAAAAGCAGCAAAATAACTGTATGGAAATAATGTAATGACTTAATTATTTTGTTGTTATATTGTTTAACCAGCACAACATAACTATTGTTCACTTGCCTGGAAAGAGGCCCTTTGGTCAGAGCCTTGTCTACATCTATGTCAATGGACAGCAGAAGGTCTCTGCCCCGCTTCGATTCCCTGCTATGAATGAAGTAAGTTCACCTTCTGTGTCATACCCCATAATGACAAGCTCTCACAGGGCAGTGGCTCTTCCAGGAGAAGTGCTGAATCAAATCAAGCAATAAAAGCAAAATATATATAGTTAGCTTTTTCAAAATTTGGAAATGGAGTGACAGTTTCAGGTAGTTTAGTGTATTGCTAGTAAGTTTTTGTTCAACTTTCGACGCTGACTGGTGTACCAAATTGGAGAATAAGTACAATTAACCGTTAAGCAATGCTTATTCAGTCAGATGCATAAAATAAATAAATAACCCTGGTTAGATAGTGGGATTTTCCCAGACGTAATTACCTGAGCACACTGACATAATATATCATGAACGGCCACCTCTGCTAGTAAGGATTGGTGTGATAGTGCTCAATGAGGAATCTTCCCCCTCACTTTCAGAGGTCGCTCGCTTTACTTGTATTTTCTGTATGTTTCCCCAGTACGCTAATCTCACATCTGCCTTGTCTGTGGCTTACTCAGTGAGCTGGTTAGGGAAGCAGGGAGCAGCAGTTTACAAGGCTGTTAATCTAAGACATTTCAAATGTGCACGTATTGAGCCTAAAAAACATGCTAGCTATCAATATAAGTATGTGTGGTGCTTGTTTTTCTTTGCAAGCATTGTCTGTTCTTTTTGTGGAGCAGATTCAATTGGGCTACAACACTGAAAATTCTTTCTCCTGTAATAAGTCCAAATTCAATGTTTACTAAATATTTTGAATAGTTATTGCGAAAATTTAGATTGGACATGGTCACAATAAAATCAGTATGACAGTTAAAGAATGACAAACAAAAGTCATTTCTGCTGCAAGACAAAACTCTGGATTTTGGCCCATCTGTAGAATAAGCACTCTAAATGTCTGGTGGTTAAATAAAGGGCGGATAATCTTTCCTCGAGGGCTGCTAATCAAGTGGAATCACTGGTATGGGAAGTATACACTGGCATACGTGCTAGGCTAGTATTTTGGAATATAATCCAGGAAAGGAGTGTTTACTGAGGTGTCTGGAAAACCATGTTTCCTAGCTTTTCTCCTGACCGAGGTCACGCAGCCGGTGAGGTGACCAAATTGCTCTTGGTTGGAGGAAGGGCACTCTTAGGGTTGTGGAGAGCATATGCTCTTTTCTTGGTCTACCATACCGGATTGCTGCTTTTCCAGGGCACACCCAGTTGTGTTACTCTTTAATCTATTTGGTTCAAGTTTGCCTGGGATAGTTTGCAGATTTACTTTGTGACCTGGAAAAGAGGAAGTTATATTTACAGTGTGGTTTGGTTTTGTTTTGTTTCTTCCATGTTTGACTCCCCAGCCTTTTACTTCCTGCTGCATTGGTTCAGCTGGTCAGAGAACGACGACTCCTCCTCCATCTCAGATACCAGACCCACCTTTTTCCTCTCCTGTTATGCCCCATCGTACATCACTTGGAGGCATTCTCTCTCCAGGAGGCTGGAGTGGGATGCTAGCAAAACCAGAGCTCGTCACCAAGATGATCTCAGCAGGGACTCAGGACAGCGAATGGGGATGCCCAACATCTCTGGAGGGCCAGCTTGGATCAGTTATCATCTTCCATGAAGCACTGCAGCCCCCTCAGGTGAAAGCATTGTATTTGGCAGGTAAGTGACAACTGTGGTGGTTTTAGTGGAATAAAAAGGATGAGCTATGGACAAGACCCCCAGGGGCTTTGCTCTACCCAGACATCTAATGAAGAATTTGTGATCCAGAAGAACCGCAAAGCTAACTGTAGCGAGAGGACCTTAAACCAAATCAGCTCAAAATTGAATGATGATTATTTTTAAAAGTTATATTTAAGATTTTCTGTCAACGTGAACTAATCTATTTATCATATATGCAGAGCTGCAGAAGTCGAAATATTATGTAGTATTTTCAGTTGTGGTTCTTAATTTTTCCTACTTTTTACCTACATGTGAGTTTGCAGCTGAAGCTCTTTTTTTAAGTGGCTTATGAACAAGGGCAATCATTGAAGTTGATTCATGCATGGGGATTTTTCCACAAGAATCGGTTAATAATTTTAATAATTTAGGGATGATTCCCCCCCCCCAAATTTGAAAATATTCTGATATTTTCATACAGTTCAAGGTGTTAAGGTATTAAGTTCCGTGATGATCTGAGATTGCTAGAAGGTAGGATAAAAATACTTTCGACATTTTGAAAAAATATTCTGTGTTACTAAATAAAACTGCCTTAAAGGTTGCTTGTTTTCTGGCCATTTGGGCTTGATGACACAGGGATTGGTCAAAGATGAGAGAGGTATTTGTAAAGACAGAAACATCAGTGGTCTTCAAATTACAAAAAATCTCTATTTGTATAATTTAGCCCTTTATCAAGGGGTTATGTATTTCTTTTTAACCAGATCCTGTGGAATGAAAGATTTAGGTCAAAAAGTTTACTTCAAAGCATGTCTTAAATAGGTAGGGCTTGGGGTGTCCTATTTGTTGTAGCAGAGTACAGTAGTATAAAATTTGTAATAGCCAGCGTTAATAGCCAGTGGGCTCCAAAAAAAAAATATATATTTTACAGGTCCAAACTGTTTGACTCCATGGAAATCTCAAGAGTCTGAGGTAGCAGACCTCCCCAGTAAGGTGCTGCTTCATTATACACCGAAGGTATGAAGTAGTACATGATTTCTCTTTGTTTATGCAGTATACAGTAACTTTCTGTTTTACATCGGAGCATGTTCTGGATAGTCTTTCCTTTTTTTCCTTTTCTTTCCTTTTGCTTTCGCTGTTCGCTAGAACAAGCGAACATGCTATCTTTATGCTGTGGTTGTTATGGGAAAATACAGACTGAGGAGAGCTTTCTTGAACTGTAGTCTTGTGCAGGGACAGTAAGCTGTAGTCTTATTTGCCAGAAGAACAGAAACTTCTTATGCAATGCGAGATCTAAGATAACATAAAGTGTTTCAGGTGTTTTAATTTGCTTACATACTTATCAACACTATGGCACTATCTTCCTGAAGTGTATTATGTATTCAGAAACCCTGTGCGAACTTCAGGGATCTGTAATTCATATCTGAAATGATACTGAAGCCCTTTCTCTTTATTGTTAATAGGCCTGCAGAAACCCTATTTGTCTTGATCTATCTGCAAATCTTTTACATGGAAGACTAACTGGAAACAAAGTAGTGAACTGGGACATCAAGGTAAATGCGTACTGAACCACCAGTGCCTGAAGTAAACGCAAGAGTAGTATTGTTCACCTAACTTTTTGAATGCCAGAAGTCATTAGCAGTATGATAATAACATTTAGCAGGCACAGCATATATCTGTAACGGGAATTAGCAGGTTAATACCGTAGCTGCAACAGTGTTACGTTGCATTTAGTGAGAAGTTACCAGGGCTACTGCTCTTAGTGTCATAGGTAATGTATCAAGATGTTTTGTGGCAGCTGACTCTCATCTGCATAATCTGTTCAATGCATGTTGTATATCAAAAGCCTTTTATTTCTAGAGGATTCTGTCATGGTTTTCTTCCACTTTTAACCTTTGGGTTAGGTTGAGATTAGCAGGGCTCAGCTAACACTTGTGACTTCTGCTGCATTAGTCGTTTGGAGAGAAAAAAAAACAAAACAATGAATGAATTGCAGGCTAACTTCAGCAGAAATCAAGGGATAGAGTTAAAAATACTCCAAGAATCAAGTTACTTCTTTTAATAGAGAATTTCATCCAGTTATCTCTTTTTTTTTTTTCCCCTATTCCTAATAGGGAACTATTTGCAAGACTAGATGGTCCCACAGTCCAAAAGCCTAATTCAGAGAAAACGTCAAAGATGCTCTAAAGGGTTATACCTTGTTCTGTCTCTGCTATACATTAATTTTACAAAAATTTTTACCCGTTGGCTCGTGCTGATTCTTACTGGCTATGCAAATCTTTGTTTAACTTTTGCCAGCATTCGCAGTCATATTGCCACTGTTATCGGTACTGCAGCTTAAACTAACATTTTCTGGCTAAAATTGTTTTTAGTTTCCTGCTCAAGCATTCTATTTTGATAAAACTATTCTATGTATAGCCTGGTCCCAATGTCTTTCTGGTTAATGTGGTCAATCTTAGTCTCATAGCACTGACAGTTTAGGCCTAAATATACCCCCTGGAGATAAAAGTCACAATATCGTCAACACTGCTAATGAGACTTAACACTAATGGTTTAGACCTTCTGAACGCTGCGCAAACAAAATCATTTAGAACAGTTATATATCCATTAAATATCTGCTGTGTAAAATAGCAGATGCTCTTGTATTTGCAGTTTCATGGAGAGAAGGAAGAATTCATGAAATGCACGCTAGCTTAATAAATACATTTGTGTATCTGTTTGCTTATTAGTTCCCTGATCATTAGCACATATTAAAGATCAAAGTCAGGTCTACCTCTCTGCACAAGGCAGTTGAGTAATTTGCAGCCTAATGGTTTGATCCAGAAACAGTGGCATGAATAAGGAGTTTTCTGTTTTGGTAGAATACATCCAGTACTGATCCACAGGTAGAATCTTTGCTTACAAGGTTGTTAGCTTTAAGGAAAAATAAAGCCCAAAGGCTGAGTATGGAAAACCTGTTAGTAGGATACCACATCTTGAGGACAAATGTAAGGACAAATAAACATGAGCTTTTTGTGGTTGATGTGAAGATAACTTTCTCAGCTTTTTAAAAACAGGGTACAATCAACTGTACTAGCAAACTAATTTATAAGGATATATTATCAGAGACCATACTGTGTATATCTTGACTTAGGAAGATTAATATTCTTAAAAAAAAAAAAAAATCAAAGATGCATTCTAGCTAATTGGTTGCTATGATATGAGTATTTTGAAAATACTGTAATTTTTTCTACCTGCCCAGTAGTGAAAGGGTGGATGAGAAGGGTTTACACCTCTAGCTGTGGTACAAGTCTTACTCAGGAGATGAATTAGAGAGCTCGTTACAAGCATGACAGGGATTTGGCAGCCTTTTGAGGAAGACTAGTGAGAGGAAAAAGCACAAGAGCTGATCAGGAACTCGGCGTGGTCTCCAAAAATGTTTCCTTATAAATTAGTTTACTAGTAAAATTGACTCTACACTGTTCTTAAAAAGCTGAGAAAGTTAATTCTGCTCTAACTATGAAAAGCTTATGTTTATTTGCTCATACGTTTGCCCTCAAGATGTGATATTCTACTAACAAATTTTCCATGCTCAGGAGAACAATTAGAGAGCTCATTACAAGCATGATGGGGGTTTGGCAGCTTCTTGAGGAGGACTAGAGTGAGGAGAAAAAAGCAGAAAGGCTGATCAGGAGCTCACAAGAAAGTAGGCATGGCCTAAAAGAAGCTACAGCTAATGCTCTTTTGGGATTGAGGCAAATTCTGTTAGTTAACTATAAGTCGGTTTCTGTTTCCAAAAGCGCATGTCTGTGGTGCTTCTTTTGCCCCCGCAAAAGGGTTCATCTGAGAGATAAATTTTGCAGATTTGAAAAACTCTTAATTCTCCAATTTTGTTAAGTCCCTTTTAAAAAAGGGAAGGATATCTCGGCTGGAGAGAGGGCATCATGATAAGAGACACGGAGCATAGTAACAGTTGAAAATATGGAAGATGATGCAGAAGGAAAGGATGATTTCTAGCATATCTCCCCAAGATTTCTGACTTGAAAGTGAGACAGTGATATCCCACACTAATATACAGGCTTCCAAGATGTTCTTTTCCTTTGACTGTTAAAATTTTAGTGGTTTTCATTGGACTAAACTGGGCAATTTAACAGGTGTCTCTGGTTAGCTTGCTGGTTACTTACTACCTGAGACCCTGATTTTGGAAGTGGCATTATGAATCACTTCTAGAGTGGGACCTAGAAATCTTGTGATTTGAATATGTTGTACCTCAACATAAGGAGCATTATTTGAAGCATCATGCTACCTCTGTTTGTGAGGAGTGGAAAAAAAGTTTTAGGAAACTTGCATTTTTAGAGACTTAGAGTTGAGGGGTGTGTGTATAGTTACTTTAAGAAGATCAAATTTCATTTAAACTGCTTGAAGTTGAAATCTTACAGGAATATGAATAAAATATAGGTATGTGTATTCTTTTTCTTACTGCTTGCTACAAGTAACTTGGAAATCAGAAAATGCATTTCTCTCTGATTTCCAAGTATATTCAGCAGAAGATACTTTGCGATTTGCATCTTTTGGTTTCCTGTGTTGTTGGAGGGGGGAGGGAATGTAAAAATTTTAAAATCAGAACTGTGCAGGAAGGCATGCATGTAACTGCAATGCCCAGAAGTTATGCAGATCTGTTAAACTCAGTGTTTTAAGCTAGTTTTGAAATGGCATGAAAATGATTAATTTGTGAGTATGTAAGATTCTATGTGCTTGGAATTAATTTCTTTTACATGGTTTTGGGGATTTTATTTATGGTGACTTCTTTTCTCCTGTTTCTCCTGATTTAGGATATGATCAACTGTATTGGTGGAATAAACGTGCTGTTTCCATTGCTGGAGCAGATCAGCTTTCTTGGTGGACAGATGCCTCAGAGGTCTGAAGGGGAAACTCTACCGCCGGAACTTGTTACTCCTGTGGAGGGAGACTGGGTGGTATTGTCATCCACAAAGGCATCGGGTAGGAAAGTACAGTTGAGATTAAGTCATTTTTAAGCTTTCATTACAAGCTTTCCTGTGAATGATGGAAAGCCATTTTATTATGTGCTGTTTTTTTCAAAGTAGCTATGTAATGCTGACAGACTGTTCCTGCTTCCATGCATCTAATGTGGATCCTGAATACCAGGAGTGCCTATGTAAAATTAACTTACGTATTCCAAATAGAATTTTTTTTTATAGCATTATTTTTCTTTTCATGATTTGCTATTACATTAAAGTCAGAATAAGCAGTTGCTGCATTTCTGATTTAAGAAGCTTGTTCTGAATATTTTGAGAAATAATAACGTTTGCAAAGCCTCCTAACATCAATAGGTGTGACTTTCCTACCAGTTGAGTGCTGGGTCAGACAGCCGCAGTAAGACTTTGTGATATCAGATCAGTGCTGTATAGAGCTGTCAATTTTTTTCTTTTCTTAGGAGGATGTTCAGGCCCCTACCCCCTCCACACACAGTCAGATTCTAGTCTTCAAATTAAGAAAAGGATGCTATAACAATAGCGCTTTTTTTTTTCCGCTCTGTCTGTCATCAATTTGAAGTGAACTGCAGTCTTATCAGAGCTTGCAAGGGAAAACAGCAGTTTTTATTTCGTGTATGAAACACTAGAGTAAATTTAAATGCATGCGTATATGTTTCTCTCTCTTCCCCCCGGCTCCCCCTAGAATTTTTGCATATCATTGCTAGAAAGTGTCAGTTTGCAACTTCAGAGGGAGAATAACTGCAAGATATGCAAAACGATTGTGACTGAAGGGGGAGAAGTTTGTATGCCATAGCCAGGTGAATGAAGCACCTGAAGGCAGGAGTGACCCCAGTCCCCCTGTTCTGGAGAGGCACGGAATGACAGGCTCTGCAATGGAAAAAATCTAAAGACAGCCACAGCTAGGAAACAAGCAGAAAAAGAATTGGGAAGTTCAGGAAATCATAAGGGATCTCAACACTTCTTTGCCTGCTTTTGTGCAGTGGTCCCAGAATGAAACAAGGAGTTTTTGCTAATGCTGCTCTGTTTTGCAGAGGCGCGTCTGGAGAAGAACATTGTTGCAACTTTCATCTTGACAATAAAACACTTTATTCAAAGACACCACGTTAATCAAGAAAATCTCATCCACTCCCATGGAGTTGCCACCCTAGGAGCCTTGTTACAGAAGGTGAGCAAATTTGAGAAGCATCCTTCGGTAACGAATGTTTTGGATGATGTCCTAATTACTTTGAAACATGCTTAATTTGTCCAGGAAGTGAGAATCACCAAAAGTTTACTTGATTCTGAAGTATCTTTCTCTGGCTTGCTATGGCAGAGAATAGGAATAATATGACTAGGCATGATGCTCCCTTTCTGTCTGCTGAGGGAAAGATGCAATCTATCGACTTTTTATAGTACATGCTTCTCTTTCACAGAGAGAAGTGTATGTTTTTTCACTCGGAGAGGTGTGAGGAGCTGGTCTTGGTCTGTGAAGTGAAACATGATGTTTTGCTTTCCCGTTTAATGTTCTGCTGTGTGTGTTATAGATGCTGCGCTGTGTGGCTCTTCAAACTAAACTGGTTTTGTATCTGTTGCTTTGCTTTAATGGAAGTAGACATTGCTATTAAATAGAAGAATCTCCAAAAATTAGTTTAAAAAAATGGGAAAGTTTAGCTAGGATAGTCAATATGCTGACTGTTAACACAGATTGTTACTTTTCAAGGTGCCAAGAAACTTGATGGATGTGAATGTACTGATGGCTGTGCAGTTGTTGATAGAACAAGTCTCAGTAGAAAAGAACATGCAGCTTTTGCAACAGATGTATCAACACTTGCTGTTTGACTTCAGTATCTGGAACAGTGGGGACTTCCCCTACAGAATTGGTGAGCTCTTAGACTTGGAGAGCTGCACAAAGATACAGCACCTTTTGCTTGACACAAATCTTTTATCTAGGTTCTAATGCAAACTTTATATTTTAGGGCATATACAATATCTTTCTACAATCATCAAAGACAGCAGAAGGCTCTTCAGAAAGAAGTATGGTGTGCAGTTTCTTCTAGACACACTGAGGATTTATTATGGGTATGATTTTACCTCTTCTAACTGTTGGGTTTTTCCCCTGTCATCCTAAGGAGAATTAATAAAACAAAACTGCAGGTTAGCTTTTGGTGGTTGGTTTTATCTTCAATATTGTATTACAAATTTTATTTCACTTCACTTGCTACTTTTCCTTGACGCTGACTTTTACAACTGGATTGTAGGAAATTTATGCCAATGGTACTAGAAGTGTTTGGAAAAGTCACTAAAGTTAGAAAACTGAGAGGCTTGTTCTCAATAATGCAAATCAAGTCGTAGATCATTGTCACTATGAAATGAGAGGATCTCTATCATTGTTTAGGACTCTTTTGTTCTTTTTAAATCCTTGAATATGAAGTAGGATTTTCAGGAGTTAAGAATTCTAACATTCAGTCTCAGTGATAGATTTGCAACAATTTATATCTGCTTATGACTTCCTTCATTGAGGAAGACTGTCTAGAGATCTAACTTTTTCAGAGGGCAGAGACCTGCAATCCTGATCTACATCCATGTCGGGACAAGTTAGTTTCAGGGCTTTTATAGTCTCAGACTTATCAGCTATTGCTTATTACAATGCAGTTGCCTTTCTTCACTAAAAATGTATAGATTGTGCCACGATATCAGGGTAGCTGAGAAAAGTTATGGAACTAGCACAGTCAAAATGCTGTTTGAGGGTCTTGAAGAACTTCCTTAGTTTGCTTTTCTTGTCTGTTGGTATTTAGGAGTAGCTGTAAAGACAGCGATTTGGCTCCTGATGACTTGAGAACAATAAGGACATCCCTTTATGGACTGATCAAATATTTCCTGAGCAAAGGTGGAACACATGAAGAAATACAGAGCATCATAGGATATATAGCTGCCACCAACGAAGAGGATCAGGTATTCAGTATGGCATAAAGTAATAGTTTGAACTTTAGGTGTTTTAGTTTTGCTTTTTGATATTTAGAAATCTTGCGTCTTATCTGCTTAAAAGAAGGAAAAAAGACCCCAAGCAAACTCTTATTCAATATTTGATACTATTTAGGTATAGCTGAGGCATGTTATAGAAGCAAACTGAGAACCTGACAAAGTGCTCTGCAACTGGTTGTACTTTCACTGGATATTTTCTCTCTGATGAGGGCAGAAAACGTGAGGTGTAATATAGGCAGTCGAAGTAATATAGGCAGTTTTCTTAGTTTACGTAACCAAATGATTTGGACTTTAAAGGATCAGAAGTTATAATGATGTGATTTGTCTGTTTTCTAGACATTGAAAATTTGAATGTACTTTATAGCTCTGATTAGTTTGATAAAGTGTTCTATATATAGAAAAAATGAGTCTTTCCAAAAATAAAATCTAATTTTAAATATAGTAACATTAAGCAGAGAAGATGTCCGTTTTTGTAACGAGTGAAGGGTGAAATTTAAAAACCAAGAGAACTTCTGCCGTGCAGAGCATGACGTCTACATGAATTGTGGATTAATTTAGTTATCTTAACTTTGTAGCTCTGTGGAATTCTGGATGTTCTCTTCAGCCTACTTCATTCCAGCCCAACACCAGACCAGCTTTTTTTATTGCTTTTTGAACCAGGAAATGCTGATATTCTTTATGCTCTGTTATTGCATCAACGATACTCTGACAGACTGAGAGAACTTGTGTTCAAGGTAATAAGGTGTATGTTCGTAAATTAATTGGACGTAGACTTGTATTTGTCAAAAGTTTGACTGCAGAAGTATATATACTTGCAAAGATATTAGTCATTCAAGTTTAATTTTTTCTTCTTTCTGCTGGTGTTAGCTAGATGTTATCATCTACTGCCCTAGTCACAGTGGAATTAGTGTTCTCCTGAAGTCAAGTATTAGAAGTTCTGGGATCTTTATGAATGAGTTTGTGTTTAAAGTTTGCTTTACAAACTGTGAGCAAGCATGTTATAGACTCTGAGAAACTCTGTCATAACAATTAAATTAAAAAGGTCTGGATGCTCTGTTATGGTTATTTTGCATTTGTCTGTACTATTTTCCTGCAGATTGTGGAAGAGATGTTGAAGTGTACTAAAGTCTATGAACGGAGTAAGCAGCGTATGAGACTCAGAGAAGTGGGATACTCTGGACTGGGGCTTCTTCTGAATGAATCGCCGGTTTCTGTTTCCTTCATTAAAAACCTTCTTAACCAAATTCTGTATGCAGGTAACTGGAGATGTGTCGTGTCTACTGTTTGCAAATTCTTGCTGGTTTTTGGGGGGAAACATATTTGTTTATGTTGAAAAACAATTTACCTTTTAAAGTTGTTCTATTCAAAGTGCACGTTAGTGTCAGCTAATATTTTTTTTAGTTTCCTGAAGTTTGTTTCTTTTACTATGCCTGGATAGAAAGGTGACCTCCAAGGCAGTTTTTAATACTTAATTGTTTAGTACACTTGCATGATAACTGCTTTTATTTTTTTTTCTCACTCCAGATCCTGCTGTGAATTTTAAAGACCTCATAGCTGTAGTGCATCTGGCTCATAGATCTGATGTAAACGTCAGAGTGGCTATTTGTAGAAAGGTTAGTTATCATCCTTAAAACTGGAATACTGTCCATTGCCCCTGTAATCAAGACGGCATACTACACCACTTACTTATTTGGGGTGCAATGGCTGCATTGGCTGCTGCTGCTGTTTTTCTTAGCAGTGGTTTATGTTGCAAATGAAGCTGATCTGTCACTTAATGTTAAATCTTATTATGTGTTCCTGTTCTTTTAATAAGCAAAACAAAAAGCAAAGCCTCTCTAATGATTCTCGGCTAGTCTGTGTTTTCTATGGGGGAAAAAGTACCGGACTCCTTGGATCACTGACTTTTCTCAAAAGATGCATAAAACCATGAAAAAACCTTTGTTCGTATTCTTAATATGTTATTTTGATATAACATGTTATGTTTTCAAGAGAGTGGTCCCTATGGAGGGAAGAAAGAGTGACCTTGCTCCTAAACTGAGCTTTGTCCGGCTCATATCACTGGTGTTAGCAGTACCAAATGAGGCTGTGAAACTCTGTTATTTAACAGAGCTTGTCAAAGTCACCCTAGAGAAATGAAAATACTCACTACCAGTAAGCTGTTGATACTGTAGCCTTCTTAATTTTGTTTGTTTATTATTTCCTATCAACATATTTTATGTGCTGGATTGCTTTTTTTATTGACTAGTGGCTTGAATGGGGTTACTTGTTGCAACAGTTAAGCTGCCTTTTTCTGAGAATTGTTTCAGAATAGAAACTGGAGCATGAAGTCTAACTGGTAGCTTTTCTTCCCGACTCCAGAGAAGATTTTTATTTCTTATTTTCTGGCAAGCTTAGGAAAATCATACATAGTAGCTTTACATTAGCTTTTAGAAAATTGTTTGATATACCAAGAAACAGAAGAAAATGTTTTATGCTTTGAAGAAAAGACTGTATCCAGAGGAATAAAAGAAATGGATTCAGTTACGCTAGATCGTATAGATGTCTAGCGCCTAACTGAGAGATCCTTTGTAATTGGAAAAAATGAAAACACTATTCTTACTTAAATCCGTACAGTCTTTGGTTTCTCAAACATGCATTTCTCTTGCGATTAGTCATTTGTCACTTGTGTGCTCTCTGTTACTGATTGTGTCTCTTTTTCAAGATTCTCAAAAAGCAAAAAAAGTCATAAGATTATAAAATGTCTAACTTAAAGCTAGAATGAGTGCAATTATATATTAAAATTAACGTGTATGCATGGGATATTTTCTCCTATCCTTAGGTTTTGCACCTTTTGCATTCCCAACCAGATGCAGCACAACAGTTTGCTCAGCAGCTGGGGTGGCAGGACACTTTGATTAGACTATTCCTGAAAGAGAACTCTGATGTCCGGACTGGCCTTAAAGAGAGCAGGGCTGATTCCTCAAGGGAAGAGGAAAAAAAGCTTCCTGCCGAAGAGCTTCAGAAACATTATGCTGATAAGACAGAGGGAGACAAAGCTGGTAGCTTTGCCTCTGTCAATGGTTTGTTTGATCAGTGGAGTTTGGAAGACAGCAAATCCCTGGATGCTCCTGCTCACTTCTCTGTTATGCCACTGGAAGATACCTCTGCAGCAGAGATATCTTTTAGGTCAGAGGAACGAGAAGAATTATGGCACAGTAATCCTTCCCACTTGAGTTTAGATCTGTCCAGCGTTGATTCTTATGAACTGGCTGACATCGGGAATCAGATGACAGATAGCCTGCCCAGCACACCGTCACCTATAGAGAACGCAAAACCATTCTCTGGGCAACCTGACAAGGAGCTAGGTGTCATAAATGATGTGGGTTTCACTACTGATCTGTCTTTTTTTGAAAACCAAGGAGTAAGTAATTCTCTCCTTATGTGGTTGATTTCTCCTAGTGTGTGTGTGTGTGTGTGTGTATATATATATATATTTTTTTTTTCCTCCTAAACTCCTAGATGGGATAATTACTGTCCCTTCTGTCCACATCCCCCAAAGGAAAAGCAAACAATATAGCTCTTACTATAGGGAGACTTATTTTATTAGGTTTCTCCTTTTTTGGTTGTTTGGTTGGAATAGGCTTGGTTTAATGAGTGTTTCTATGTTGAAACATTTTTTATTTTCTAAAGGAGGCAAGGAGCAGGCTTGCTATGAAAAAATCAAGGGTGCCTAAAGGTCAGGGTATATATAAAGTAAATAATGATGTATAAATTGAGTCAGTATGTATTATAAATTCTGGTGAGCCATAATATTTTATATTTGCGTTTTCATGTATTTAGCAATTGGACTTTAGATTGCAGAGTTTTCAAAAATGATGAATCGTGCAAGCATACGGACTGTGATGAATGAGAAACCCTTTGAAGGTTGTCTGGGCCAGAAGGGCTGTTAATATTTCTGTTCTTTTATAGGGGTGTGATAAAGAACTCATACAGTTACTTACAGACATCCTGCTGTGCATAATGTGGAAAGGCATTGAAAGGTCTGATGATGCTGCTTGGATTGAGAGAGGACAGGTGTTTTCTGCACTGACCAAGCTGGGGATATCTAATGAATTGCTGCAACCTTCTGATGAAATAAAGCTCAAGTGAGTATAGCTCAAGGACATGTTCCTTCCGTTCTTTTGAGGAAACGAGGGAAAAATAAGGGGAGTTGGTGAAGCTAGTGGCAGGATGGGGGGAGGTTCCCATCAGGATGCAATTTCTTTGCTTTGTCTTCACATATATTCCACTACCTATTTAGTAGTGTAATGTGGCTCTTGGGGTTTGAAAACCTGTATCTCTGATTGCATGAGCTTCTCAATCTCTTTTACCTCATTGGCTTATCGAGTAGAGGACACTTATATCACTGCAGACTGAGCGAGTCAATTAAATACATAGTTGGATTTTTGTTTTTTTAAGCCACTTACACTCAGAACATGTAATAATTACTTTGGGATTTTGTTTTCCATGCAGCTTGCTGGAGAAGATGTTAGAATGGTCAGTCACTGATAACAGAGATTCAAAAGCTCTCCCTGCACATGCTGAAAATGCCTTCCGGCTCTTGCTAATTGTACAAGATTTCCTTCAGGCAGAAGGACTAGTTAATTCAAATTTATGGACAGAAAAGGTACAGTAACTGTATAATGGAAATTCTGTATATAGGCTGAAATAATAATGAAAAAGTTGGTTGGGATAATGTCATACCTTCTAAGCATGTGTTCTTAAACTAGATATTAAAGAGTAAGGGTTCAGAGTGGAATAATTAGATTGCCCCTTAATGAGAAGAAACTTTATAAATTCTTAGCAAAGGGAATACAGTTAAGATTGCAAATTGAATAGACCCCATAGTGGTACTCGTTATTGAAAATGCAAGTCTCTTCAGACTGGAGAAATAATTAACAAATGCAAGAGCTGATGCAGCAATGTCAGTGGTAGCCTAAGCAGATTTTGCCCCGTTGATAAGCATGTATGACTCATTGTGTGTGTCCTGAATAAAGCACCAGCCAAAACCCCTGCTCTTTATCACAAGCGGAGGTGACGAATGTCACCTCTGGGTTTTGACCCGTATTGGAGTTGCAGCATGTTTTTATACGTGTTTCTGCACAAACTTGCAGTGAATTTTATGTGCCCGGGGAATCTGAAACTTGAGGTCTTGGGCAGAAAGTGATGAGCAAACACAAAAAGAAGCAAGATAAAGAAACTTTCTGTCTTCCTCTGGCTGTGTTTCCTGCCTTCTTGTTGTGCAAGTTACAGTAACCTATAACTTGCCTCGCTATTTACGTTATTTCTAGCAGTGGTCTTACTACTTTTGCTATCTGAGCTATGTCATTACTTTCCCTTTTTTGAGGCTGAAGGAAGGCAGAATTATACATAATTTGTCATTCTTTCATGCTAAATCCATAGAAAAACAGTTTATTTTTAAATGTTACTTTTTTTTAGTGTAATATCTTGAAAGTCATCAATATTGAGGGTAATTCCTAAGGTGTCCTCCAAAATGTCTATTTATAACCAAACATAATGTAATCTGAAAGTTTTGATTAGTTTTTGTGTGTGTGTGTGTGTTTAAGTCTTTCCTGCCTAGAGATTTGGCTTTGTGTGGTGATCTAGCTTTGTGAAATCCAATTAGAAATTGGATCTGAACTTTGGAGCATTGGGAATTGTGCTTATTGCCAACTTTTGAAATGAAAGTAACATTACTTTCCTAAATTATCCTCCACTGTGTCTGGGGAGAATTTAAAGTACTCACTGTAATATTACAAGCAGAAAAGCTTTCAGCATGCCACAAGCATTCTTGTGAGTGCAGGGATTAGCAGGGGAATGACTTTAAACTTGAGTGAATTACAAGGGAATGGATAAAGGTATATTAGTTTTAGCCAAGCATGCCTCGATGGTAAAAATGCTTTTTGCTTTCCAAAAAGTACCTTTCTGGAAACTACCTAAGTAGTTTCCTTTTGTGGGAAGTTTTGTATCACTCCTAATATAAAAATAGAACAGAAAGGGGAGCCTCCTATTTTCTTTTTTTAAATTTTATTTATTAAGGTACTAGAAGTTTCAAGCATTTCATGAAACTGGTTATTTATGAAAGAAGCCTTATTTTCCTTCTCAGGGCATCAAGAAAATTATTATTGCCACTAAACTTTAATTAGTGTTATACTTGTATAACATAAAATGCAAAGGAAAAGAATAAAATAAAAATTATAATTATTGAACTAGAAATGGCAAGCTGATATGATTTCTCTGCCTTTTTTAGAAGTGTCTTTTTAATCGTAGTATCCTGCTGATTGTGTGCATAATTTTTTTCCTCTCTCTCTTTTTTTTTTTTTTAATAATTGGCATTTCCTGGAGATAAATTATAGGCAAAAATATAAGTATATGCTATATGCCTGGTTTTGACTTTATTCAGGGAAGATACTTGAGCTAACATACTGGGCTAGACAGATTTTGCAGTTGGGAATCACTTCAGTCTGCTAGTTGAACTGCTGTCTTCCTGGATAGCGTCGTCTTTTGGGGCAAGTTAGTGTGAAGGCAGCCTATTCTTCAGCGCTTTGAAATTACTTTAGCTGGAGTAGTTTCTGATAATTTCTGACCTGTTTTACTTCATGCAAATCTTATGCTTTTACAACAGCTCTTGGAAGAACTAGTGACTCTTATGGATTGTCTGTCAATCTGGTACTCTGCTGGCCCGGAAGCAATCCGACTTTCACAAGTGCAAGTCCAGTTGCTCCTTGGATTCATTGCACAAGATAACTTACAGGTTTGTTACAAATTTGTGCAAATACTGCATTTAAAGTGCATATGGTTGATCTAATTGTTGTGGTTTGTAGGGGAGTTGCTCGCACTAGTGAGCACACTGATGCCAATCTTTCATCTTTCTATAGGCAAAATCCTTTTAGCAGTTCTTGCCCCATGCAAACTTATTCTGCAGTCCTGTCCATGTACACGTCCTGAGCATGAGAATGAGCTAGAGGGCAAGTCGTTTGAAGCTGGTGCGCTCTCTGTGCACAAGTGGGGATAGGATAGCGATCCTGACTGTAACTTTTAATTTCTACTATAAAATACGTTTATTAGCAATTCCAGGTTTATATAGGTTAAGTGTGCATGAACCTGAGCTGCTCTGCCTGAATCAGCATTCAGTACAAAGTGAACAGAGCTGTATCTGAAATAATGAGCCCTTTAGTGAAGCTGGTATTGTTAGCCTAGGTACTTAGTCCCATAAGAGAGGTGTGTGTGTGTGCCCTCAGGCTACCTGAGATATAGCCAAAATATGTACATACAGCTGTGTTAAAAGATAGGTGCTCACATTACTGTTTTGAGGGTTGCATTCACTTTTTGTTGTTTGTCTGTGCAGGTTTGTGCTATGGCAGCAGCCAAACTAAACACCCTTCTTCAGACTAAAGTAATTGAGAGCCAGCCTGAAGCATGCTACCTCCTGGGGAAGCTGGAAGGCATCCTGAGTAGATCAATTGAAGAGAAGACAGAAACGTACTCATTTTTGATTCCACTTGTTCGGACACTTGTATCCAAAATTTATGAACTTCTCTTCATGAACCTGCACCTCCCTTCATTGCCTCCTACTAATGGCAGCCCCTCTTTCTTTGAGGACTTTCAAGAGTATTGCAGGTCTGATGAGTGGCAAGTTTATATTGACAAATATGTAAGTAGGAGATTTTTCTTAGTTGCATTTTTCCCTCTCTTTTTAGCCACTAAAGCAGAGGAACTGTATTCAGCAATCATCTTTGTCTTTTTGTTTTGTTGGAACCAGATTATTCCAAATATGAAGCAGTATGAAGGCAATTCATTCAGAGATTGTCATGAGCATATGGCACTTTATTGGAAAGATTGTTATGAAGCATTCATGGTGAATATGCACAGGCGAGACCGGGAGAGAGGAGAAAGCAAGCTCAAGTTTCAGGTAAGGATTTGAGTTCTTCCACAAGCACTTTGCACTGTTTCAGGAATCATCTTGCAATAAATGGAGAAACTGAATTTCAGGATGACCTGATCCTAGTGATTGTGGGCAGGTGGTTGTTTTGTGGCAGATATTATGGGCAATCTGACTGTGCTGACTTGTAGGGTATGCTTTTCAATTTCTCTTTTTTTTTTTCCCCCCAATTTAAGAGTCTTATCTGTAAGCAGAGTTATTAAAAGACAATAGATCTTTCTCATAGTACAGCAACCTAGAATTATGCTCAGCTATAAGCTGCATTTTTCTTTTTTGTTCTGATTTATTTGTCTTGAACTATTAGAGCCCCTTGATTTAGGGTTATGATTTTTTTTAATTCCAGTTCACTGCAATGAAAACATTTAAAACTTAGAACTTATTTGAGCTGCAGTTCAGATCCAGTTTTTCCACACAGTAAAAAGGAACTGACCTTTCTGTATGAGGATCAAATTCAACTTGGGCATTAATTTTAATGGTTAATCTCAGTAAGTGTAACAGCCAAGTTGCATTTCTTTATTTCGCTATGTTGTATTAAGCATCCTTTTCGTAAGTCTTTTCTGCTCAAATAACTAAAGGCAGAATACAATGTCAATCACGTTCCAGAACGCCAAAATTTAAATGGAGGTCCTAAATATTTATCAAATAGGGCTTCCAATTATGAAAAGTTGCTTCCATGTTGATTCAGCCTCGCTGAGTCTTTCTTTACAAATTAGGTCGATGTTTTGTATCATTTCTTCTAGTACTAAGCTCTTCTAAACTTTTCTCACAAGTCTTATCTTAAATTTTCAGAAATTTACTGTTTAACTTTTTTTGTTCCTTCCTAATTTGTGAGAATTCTGTTCTTGCAAGCCAAAAAGTTGCATTTCCAAATGTAGAGTTCTTTCAGTGCTAGATTTATTTTTAATGGTCTTTCAGGAGCATTTTGTGGAACCATTCAGCAGAAAGGCTCGCCAGGAAAATCTGCGGTACAACAATATGCTAAAGCAACTTAATAGTCAACACATAGCTACTCTGAGGCAATGGAGAGCAGCCCAGCTTTACTTGCTCTCTGAACGTGGTCCTTGGTCTGAAAAGTAAGAGCGAAGTTCTTAAATCAAACAGAACGTGATGCTTAAAACGAATTGCTCACATGATTAACTTACTGCTTCATGTGGTTAGAACTGCAGAACCTTGTCAAACTGACTTGGGTACCGTTTTGGAGATGTAAAATTATTATTGAATGCATCTCTAATAATTTTTATATGCATTTAATTATCAAAATGCAAATTTGGAAGTGTAATATTGAACAGGATACTTGGATGCTAGATTTTCCTGCCAAGTGACAAAAATCAGTTGTCAGTGAAGGGATTGTAAGACTTACTTGCAAGATGCTGGAGATCAATGGTTCTTTTGGAAAGACTGAGAGACTTTTTGAGTTCCTGTGCATGAAATTTGAATTTCAATTTGAATTAAGACATTTTGCCTATCTTAGCTTTAAGAGTTCTGGTTAAAGAGTTGTTGTGTGTGTGTTTGTGTTTTTAATCTTTAATTGTCATTTGCCAAAAGTGTAAGCAGCCTGCTGTATTTCTGTAGAAAAGTAGTGTTGTTTACGAAGTGCTTCAGGATGATCAGAGCTGTAATATAAAATACAGACTAGCATGCAGTTTAGTGTGTTCATGTTCTGGAATGTATAGATGAGGGATTTCAGTCCTTTTTCATAATCACTTCAGTAATTTTGTAATTTTTATCTCCTTTACCTCCTTTTAACTATTTTGGTGAATATTCTTGTTTTCCTAGGAAACAGCATCCTGTTCACTGGAAACTTTCAAATGTGGAGAATTATTCACGTATGAGGCTAAAACTCGTGCAGAATTACAACTTCAACTCTCATCAGGATGCTAGTGACCTGAGGGATAATTTAGGTAAAGCTATATTGTATTTACTTGGTTCGCTTGGATTCTTGAGTCTTTACTGATAATTCTGTGAATTTAAGAATCAATCTATTGTAGATACTTAAATGTTGATATTTTTTTTCTTTGCTTTTTCCTGTATGCTAAAATGTGTCATATAAAATAAGAGCAAAGTGCTTTAACCTGAAATAGAATCTTCCTTTTGGTAAAATTCTCTTCTGCTTGTACATTGAAGTGTGTATTTTAAGTTTGTTTGTTTGTTTTAAAAGAGTACTCCTTTGCTTAAAATTAGCAAGCACATGCTTTTGTTGCATAAGATCCTTTTTTCAAGAAAAGGGAACGATGAGGTCAGAGTGAGCAGACAGCATTTGTTTAAACCTTTTTTAGAGCTGATGATTAAAATGTGTAGATATAGAGCACTTTGTCAGAAGTGTGCCGAACAGCTGAATTACGAAGGTGTAAGCTCCTCTTTCAGTTAGGACTCTTGAATATCAAGACTCAAGCCAAAAAAAACCATACTCATTGTGAACCTAAATGCACAAAAAACAAATGAAATATATTTTCAGGAAACCTGCATGCTGAAACAGATGGGTTTTGCCAAACACTGCAGAATATTCTATTGGAACTGTCTGCATTAGAAATACTTATACCCAATTCTAATGTGTCCATCTTTTGTATCGTTATGATTTGACATGTATTTTGATATAAGCTGGGAATTGTTTTTATTTTTTCACTTGCCTCAAAAAGTATTTAAGAAGTCTAGTTGCTGCTTATTCACTTAAAAATAACATTCAACAGTAGATGCACTCACTAGTTTGGCTTTCCAAAAATGCTGTAGCAAAACATTTTCTGAATTGAAATGCCTATTAAAATAGGTGTGCACCAGACGCAGCCTTCTAGTGAGTCTCTGCTTCTGGAGGTGGTGAAGCAGGTAAAAGTGAGTGACTTGGAAGATGATATTCTTGAACTACCAGAAGAAGACACAGCAGTCAGTGCCAATATGTAAGTACAGCATGGAGCAGCTGGCATTTGTTTGTGTCCTGGGGATAAGGAGCAGGGAAACAGCTCCTGAAGCTGAATGATCAGCGTACAACACTTTCTTCTTTGCTTGCCTATCCTTCGCTTGGTCCAATCCAGGGCTTGGACCAATGTGAGGATCCATTAGTGATTTTCTGCTCCAAGTTGGTTTGAAGCTAAAAAACTGTTAAGGTTTCTCTACTGTGTTGGTAGGCAATAAGCCTCAAGACATGGTCTGCCCCATAAGGGCACAGACCAGACTGGAGTCAGCTCATGTCCACAGGCACCGGGGTGGTTCTCCACAGCACTAGTTGCAGAGTGTGGATGTCTGCTTGGCTGGCTATAAACCTGTTGGAGAGCCTATCTGTGTTTAAGAGCATTCCAGGAAGCAGACGTGCTGTGCTGCTTTCATGCCACTTGTGTGGCTTAAAGTAAAATGAAGAGAACAAATGTTTCACTCCAATAACTGGAGATGTGGTGTAGTGCACACAGTTATGTGCATCTGTGCTGCTGAATTCCCATGGAGACATGGCACTTTGAGTAGCACTGATGGTTTTTGGGTTTTTTTGTTTTTTTTTTGTTTGTTTGTTTTGCAATGTAAAGGTTATTGAATGTTTATATCATCATTCCTTTAGACCTCTGATCAACCTTTATTTCAAATATTTTTGAAGATAATTTTTGGTCTTGTGAACCCAGACGCAGCTCTGCTGTAGGCCGGGATTAATTTAAGCATGTAGCACTTCAATAAGAAAAGTAATTGTAGCCTCATGTTTCATACTTCAGGGGAGGTAATCTCCATGTTATCTGAGACTGAAATAGCACGCCTGAAGAACAATGCTATAAAATGATGTCTGGTAGTGTAGTTTAAAATATCCACAACTCCTAATGGAAGTAACAGCAAAATCATTGATTATGTGTTTTTAATGCTATTCAAATCTGATTCTTTTCTGAACTATATTTTTAGGTGAGAGACTTTCTGTCTAACTTAACCAAAAACTGTAACACTTAATGATATTTTTGCAGGGATGAGAAGGAGGAGCAAAGCCAGAAAGAAAAGCTGGTATTATCTGAAGACTGTGAACTCATTACAGTAATTGATGTGATACCTGGCAGGCTGGAGATCACTACCCAGCACATCTATTTCTTTGATGGTAGCATTGAAAAAGATGAAGGTGAGCATGACTTGCAAATTTTTTTTTTTTTAAGAGCAGTTCAGCATTCTGTTTTTAGTGGGCGAATCTTGAATATTTTTGAGAATGAGTACCAAACAAACTATGAAGAGACGGGTTTGTGTATTTCTACTTAAAACAAGTTGAACAGTTGAGCATTAAAAGTGTGAACTGAACTGTTTAACCAATGTTTGTGTTTTTCACAAGCAATATATTAAGAAGCTACCCTTTTTGGAATTCATAGAAGCTTCTATTTGAGCCTGACTGAGAAACCAGAGGGCTTTGGGTCATGCTTCTGTCAACAAAACACACTTGTGATGGTTTTGATAATCGAAAAGCAGGGAAAAAAAGATCTCCACCCTCTCAAATGTTTTCTACGGTATCTCTCTTTCAGTAGAACAATATTTGAAATTCATAACCTTTTCCTAGCAAAATAGTTAATCAGGCAACATAAAATTTACCTTTTCTGGGGATGACTCTGGGGCAATTGGAAATTATATTACATTATGTGTATAAAAGGTTTTTAATACATTCCAAGTCAGTAATGAGTACCTTTTTCAGGGGTAGGTTTTGATTTCAAATGGCACCTGTCACAAATCCGTGAGATACATATGCGTCGATATAACCTGAGGAGGTCAGCCTTGGAGATCTTCCTTACCGATCAAACCAACTATTTCCTCAACTTCAATAAGGAGGTATGGATTTCCCAAATTTCTCTGATTTAGTAGCCCAAATGTCAAATTTTAGTTCTCTGGTCATATCCAAGACCAAGTGTTTTTCATAGTACTGTAATATTAGTAGCAAAATTCTTGCTAGATGTAGCCATTGTGGGAAATTCGGAATAGCCTCTGAAAACCTGTCTGGTCTCTAGAAACTGAGTAATGGAAAAGATGAATAAAACAAGAATCTCCCCCAACCCCCCCGTGTCTTTTTAATGATGTAGAACTACTATTCAACTAAAAATTATGTCAGTAGTAATCGAAATTTCTTGACATCCACACATCATTTTAAATATTCTGGACAATTTAAGTATAAAACAGATTATTCTATTTTACCATAACATTGGAAATCATTAATGTTTTTATATTCTGTGGTGTAGAATTACTGCACTTTTTTCCCCAATGGGTAACGTACGTGATCCTGTGTCTGTGGGGCTAAGATAAGTATGTGGACAAAGGTTGGGTTACTTACTGGTAGGTCAGTTCATGAACATCTACTATAAAATGGCTTTCTAAAGTAAATAAATCTCTGAAATAGCTTTGTAAGGAAAATATTGGTGCAATTATATTTGAAAAGCAGCAATATTTCCTGGTATTCCCACTTTTGTGGGAATAATAATTATTCTGTGTAGTATCCACAGAAAGGCTTTTCATCACATACATTGCCTTTACATCCTGTATTTCAAGGAAAATGTTTTATCTAACAAGAGATGGACACGTTTAAAAAGGTAAACCCATTCTCTTTATTGCAGACTTTACTTAGCAGGACAGTTATTTGTTTGTCAGCTTCAAGGTCTAGAACAAATATTTTCATACTGTTCTATAACAGGTGAGAAACAAAGTGTACAGTCGAATTTTGTCACTGCGTTCTCCAAATGTTTCTGGGACTAGATCTCCACAGGAACTCTTCAAAGCTTCAGGTCTGATGCAGGTAGGAGACTTCAGCGTAAATGGTCTAGAGCGTTTCAGGGCTGTTTGAAGGAGAGTTTTAAAATTAGGTAGTTAAAATAGGCCTTCAAATACTGACTGTTCCGTGTTTGAAAGGCAGCTGCTAACTTCTGTGTCCTCAGTCTGGCCTCTGAAATTTCACATGCATATTCTTGCAACTGCTGTATTTTGTTTACAGTCTGTGAATTTATGCCATTGTAAATGGGTAAGAGCCTTGCTCTGATTTGGTTATGACAAGCGTTCCAGCGAGAACATGTAGGAGAATCGCTTCTATCTTTAGTGCAGGATTTGGAGTGCCAATTTTGGAACCTTTCTCACTGCATGTGCAAATAACTTTCCCTGCTATCTTTTTAAAAAAAAAAAAAAGGTGAAGATCAAGCAGGAAGTGTGGTCTTAGGAGAATTAGTAACGTTAGCATACAAACGGGATGTCAAAACGTTTGTATTCTCCTAAATAGTTTTTCCAAATAAATGTGGTATTTATTTTTATCTTCCATCTCTTTATGCTACAACTATGTTTCCCTCTGAGGAAGGGAGGGAGCTTTATGACTGACTTAAAATACTGAGAATACTTGTGAGGGTTTTTTTTATTTGTTTGTTTTTTTGTTTTTATTTTCCCTTGTCCTTGCACTTTTCCTCCATTACTTTTTTAAACCAAAGGAGAACAGACAGAGCTGTGTTTAGAAGGGCTCAATATCTGTATGTAGTGTGATGGAGACGTTTCATTACAGAAGATATTTTCTCTACTTGAACGCACAACACAGTCGCTTTTATCCTTGCAGAAAGCTGTTAGCTTACAAATTCCTTTACCATTAACTGAGAGGGGAACAGTGCAGAAATGATGTTTTGATCTTAGAACTCTGATTTCTAAGTTCTGTTCCTCTTTCCTCAGCACCTGTTTACCTGTCATCTTTTTGTCTCTTTATTTCTGTTTTGCTTCCCCTCTCACCCCCACTTCTTATTCTGAGGCAGCTAGTTGTCTGCTGTGTTTGAAACTGCTGGTATTAATCAGGGACACAGTTTCACTGAAATGCAGGTAACACAGTTGGCAGAGCACCAGGAAAATAAACTAGATTATGAGAAATTAAATCTGGAAGTTCATACCATGGTTATAGCCTTTGCTTACCAGTGCTCTCCTCTGGCAAATAAATACTGACAAAACAAATAATTTGCAATAACAGTAGCTTTGCTGTAACAACTTCCATTCTATCTTTTTGTTTGTCCTTCAGAAATGGGTAAACAGAGAAATATCCAACTTTGACTACCTTATTCAGCTGAACACAATGGCAGGACGAACTTACAACGACCTTGCTCAGTAAACTGTGGTAATTTAAAAAAAAAAAAAAAATTGTTGCTGAAGATATGCATTTCTTTTGTTTTGAAAGATGTATCTTTAGTCTCAATTGAACCTGTGATTTTTGTTTTTTTTTTTCTAGTTCCCCTGGATTTTACAAGATTATACTTCAGAAGAGCTGGACCTGAATAATCCTGCTGTCTTTAGAGATCTGTCCAAACCCATTGGGGTGGTAAATGAGAAGAATGCTAAGGCTGTGAAAGAGAAGTATGTGTTTGCACACTAGTTACATTTCTCTGGTTTTCTGAGTTTCCAAGTCAATAATACTTTAAAAAAGAAAGGCATTGACAGTGAAAATTTTAAAAGCTAATTTTATATCATCTCAAGATGCACTTGCAAAAATTGGTGATTCTTTGTTCCTTGCTGTGCTCAGGTTAGCTCATATAGCATGGAAAGAACAAAACTTACTGTTGTAAATTTTGGATTATTTCTTAGATGTGGGTATGATATACGTGAAAGGCTGTAGAAACACTTAATTTAATGGTCCAGAAGCTTGAAAAGACATACTCTGTCTGTTTCAAGATAAGGAAATATGAAATCATGCTGGTGAGTTGAGCAGCCTGTGCTGGAAGGCAGCATTGATCTCACTCCTAAATCTGTGCTTCCTGCTCTTTTCTCTAGCGTAGATTATTATCTTTGAAGTAAGCTGTAGCTCAGCCACTTCCAGCAGCTCCTCTGTAGGTAAGAATGACAAGTACTTACACCCACACATCAGTGTAGCGTTCGTTCCTTTTTGGCTAGTGTGGGGAGTGAGTATGCTATCGTGCCAGATTGCACTTGTCAGGCTTCTTCCAAAACTAGCTCTCTTCAGAAAACTCTGAACATGAAGAATTTTCTTTGAATGATTAGGGGCTATCCCTAACTGGAATGGAACTGATTCTCTGGCAGTATGTAACTGTAAGATTTCCTGCTAGCTGTGTGACACTGAGGAACACATCAGCTGGATGGTGGCATGATACTGGAGAGGGTTTGCCAACAGAAAAGGAAAATAGGCACGAGTTTTAACACGCTTTTCTGTATCCTGAGACCGTCGCACATGCTTTTCTTTTTTCTTTTCTTTCTTTTTCCCCCTCATCTTGAAGGCAACTGTCACAAGTCCCTTCAGCAATAAATATTCAGCTTAGTAATGTGGTCTTTTTGGCTGTTGTATGAAGTCTTGCTAAATCAGGTCTGTCTTGCCCCTTATCCAATTTCTCACAGCTGATAGCAAATACCTAGGGAAGAGTATTGAGAACAGGTATGCCAGATGAAGAATCACCCTTTCCATACATTTCTGTCTTTCTGCAGTCTATGGCTTAGGGACTTCCAGAGTGAGAATTTGAATCCTCATGTTAAATAGAGCTCAATGTTATTTTTCTCTTTAAATTTTTGTGATACGTTCTTTTGAATCCTTGTCTCCAGTAAATATAATCAGCTGCTTAGCGCCTGTAGCGCTCAGTTGCATTTGTATTTATAGAGTTCTTCCTTTCTAGATATGAGAATTTTGAGGATCCCCTTGGGATAATTGACAAGTTTCATTATGGGACGCATTACTCGAATGCTGCTGGTGTCATGCATTACCTCATTCGGGTAGAACCTTTCACGACACTTCATATCCAGCTTCAAAGTGGCAGGTATACTGTGAGCAAATAAGCAGCATATTTCTTCTTTTCCTTATCATGTAAACAAGGGAATGGTCAATGTCTGACTTGCCTTTTCTGACCTACAGGTTTGACTGTGCAGAATGGACAACCCCAATGACGTGAAGGAACTTATACCAGAGTTCTTCTACTTCCCTGAGTTCCTGGAGAATCAAAATGGTAAACTGGCCGCTCAGAATGTAGCGTATAAAAGCTCTTATGTTCTCCAGAAAAAAATTGTCGCAACTCTTTTGCGAACACTCTGGAAAGCTTCTCACTTAAACTTTATAATGTGCTTGTTGAAGTTATTTCAGTCATCGTACTGGCCTCAAACTGTTCACAGGGACAACTATTGCAGCTAAATGGTGTTTAAAATTCTGACTTGGAGCTTGAGGATGGCTAAATATCATTTTGTCTCCCTAATCCATAAGAAGATCAAAAATGCTCATTTGGAGGTTTTAAAAAAAACTTAGCAATAGTTAATACTGATTAAATAGTTTAGAAAAGTTAAAAGAGTTTAAATAGAATATTATTTACTGATTTTATTGGTTTTCTTGGGTGGTAGTTGGACATTTTCAAACACGCGAGGTCTTTTATTTGTTCTAGGCAACTAGTGTATTTCCTGCCAGTAACAGTTATCTTCCAATGCAATCACCTGAATTTAGAGCCGTGTAAGGTTTCAGTACCCTTCAGAAGAAAAATAAAGCCATTTCACTGCGATGTAGTGGTAATTGAAAAAACAACATTCTTCATTCTGATATGAGGCTCCTGGGTTTTTTTTCCCATCTCATTTATTGCATAGGGAATTCTTAAATCACTAAAGTGACTTAAGAACCAAAGAGGTTTTCTAGTGAAAGCTGGTGGGATTTAAGGCTTCCTGAAAGCCTTGTTTCTACAATCATTTAAACCTAAAACTATACTTACTTGTAAGTTTTGGACTCTGAATTGTTGTAAAATAAAGCAAATGCAGTTATGTTTAGGAGTATAAATGATTAATGTTACTTTGAGATTGGGACTTAAGCCTCTAAATCATTCGGATCCTTTGGACAGCTGTTATCCTGCATCATTTAACACTTTAGAGATTCAGAGCAGAACTTTGCCTCCTGTGCTGGTCATAGGGTTACTGGAGAATTACATCAAGAATTTCTCAATATTTTTCTCCTATGCTGAGAAAATAACACTTTTTAATCTTTGCTGAGTACTTAAAACTTTTGAAATGTTTTGTAGCAGCTCTTAAAAGTTTCCAAATTATTTGCTAGGTTTCAACCTGGGTCAACTTCAAATATCCAAAGAGGTAGTAAATGATGTTGTTCTCCCCAAATGGGCCCACTCCCCAGAAGACTTCATTTGTAAGCACAGGAAGGCTCTGGTAAGATGTGGTTACGTGAATCTTTGCATGAAGTAATGATAAAGGCAGTACAGCTACATGTTGTTACTGTGACGTAAGTGTAAAATAGTGGAACTGGGTTTGAACTAGAGTTGTGGTTGCGTTTCACGTTACAAGTAACATTGGAACTTTCAGGTCAAAGCACTGTGTGTGTAAATAAAATGCTCAAAATAAAAAAGGCAAGAGCCTGAAGATACTAGTAATTTGGGAGTTTGCTGCATTAGAAGAGAAAAGGCAAAATTTGGTGGAATTAAGTGATAACACTTCCATTGCCTTTTATAGATTATTCTATATCACAGTAAGCAACCAGCAGCTTACCTTCTATTGCATTTCAGTAGCCTAGGTGTGCTGCTTTGCTGTATTAAATTCCCTTCTTACCTTGCAGTTACTGCCCTTCACGCGTAGGCATATTCTTACGCTTCTGCCTCATATGTTGGTATATGTTTAGTTTGTGGATGCTCTTAGCTTAGGAATTTAACTTCTGCCATGAAGTAGTCTATGCTTCTAGAAAGGAGCAGTACTTTTCATGTTCTTACAAGAGTAACTTTTCCTTTAGGAATCTGAGTATGTTTCTGCTCATCTTCATGAATGGATAGATTTAATTTTTGGCTACAAGCAGAGGGGACCAGCTGCAGTGGAGGCACTCAATGTGTTCTATTACTGTACTTATGAAGGTACAAAGCAGTATGCTCTCTTGTCGTTGTCATCAGATTTGTGGGTTTTCAGTATTAGCCGCAAAATGCTTGATCTTTGGGCATGCTATCCAGTAGCATGCAGCAAGGCAACAATTATAGCTGAAATGTGGCAGCATAACTTCTAAGTTACATAATCAAGTACCCAGAATATTTGATGATTCAATCAGAAGCTGTGAACCTAAAATACTAATTAAGTTTTTAAAACTGGAGACTGTTCCAGTTGCTTACGTTTTGTTCCCAAAAATGCTGGGGGATTGGGGTGTCTCTCCGTTTTTTGCTTGTTTATTTGTTTTTAACGTTTGTGGGGAGGAGTTTCTCATGGTTTAGGAGTCAAGATAAAATCATCTGCTGGGTATCTGCCAGATATCTGCCATCAACGTTGTGGTGTTTTTTTTCCCCCCACTACCCTCCGCCATTCTGGTTGTGATCTAGGAGCTGTGGATTTGGATGCTTTAACGGATGAGAAAGAAAGGAAAGCTTTAGAAGGGATGATAAACAATTTTGGACAAACTCCCTGTCAGCTGCTAAAGGTAATACTGTTTCTTGCTTACCGGTCCCACCTTTGTGGTTAAATCCATCTGAGTTATCAAGGGCTTGCGGAAAAAATGGGAAGATGATAATGGTTTCTGACATTAGGAAAGCTAATTATTTACTGTATCAGTGCTTGTGAAGGTTGTGCTGATGGCAATCTAGCGTAGCACTTTCAAAAGAGGAAATCTCCTTTCCAAAAGCAAATTAGGTGCCTGAGAATCTGCTTTCCTATTGAGATTACCATATGTGACTTGAACAAATTGGTAAAAGATTGTCTAATTTGATGTTCCTTCAACTGTTGTCTGCTAGGAGCCGCATCCACAAAGGATGTCTGCAGAAGAGGTAGTGCAGAGACTCGCTAAAAGCGATACCTCTACTCTGAATCTCTTCCAGCACCTCACTGAACTGAAGTCATTCTTCATAGAGGTAGGTGCCTTATTTGAAATTGTTTGAAGTCTAATCTGAAACAAAATGTCGTAACTCAGACGAAAATAAAACTTGCTTGCTATTGGAAGAAAATATTTTAAAAGGTAACGTGTAACACCAGCTCTGTCATTTTAGTTAGCTTTATAGAGATTGAATCCCGTAAACTTTCAGCTGCTGGCCATTTCTGTGGGTCTTGTTTGAGTACTGAATTCAGCAGCACACTGTGAAAGCCAAGAATGTCACTCGCAGTGTTTGAGGACTCGCTGAATTCAGTGGCTGAACATTCTGATTTGGGGCAGAGACAGGATTTTCTCTGGTGTATGTGACACAATTTCACTCTGTGAACTGAGTGCGTGTGTATAGCTGGGCCTGAGAGAATGTTATAGGTCTGGCATTGATTCTGGAGGCTGTAATCGTACCCTGCAGGTCCAACACTTGACCTTTAGCTTTTGAATATAATCGGACCAAAACCATGGCCTTTCTTTTAGGGAATCAGTGATGGTGTCCCCATTGTCAAAGCTGTCGTCCCAAGGAATCAATCACGTTCCTTTATGTCTCAGGGAAGCCCAGAGATCTTGGTGAGTTGTGTGTGTCAATACTGTTCTTGGAAACTGGAGACTGTTGTGTGGGGTTTGTTTTGTTTTTCTTCATGCAAAGCTTAGAGAGAAACTGTTCCCAATTGTTCCTGTAGAAACGTATTCCTTTGATCTATGGTGAGAGTCAGCTGTAAGTGAAATATTTATCCTCTGAAGAGAAGCAAGGCTGACTTGTTGAGTGGCATTTAGGTGTTGGTGAGATGTCCGTGTAAGTTGTGGTGAGGTGTTTTGCAGGTTGCCCGCTTGATTTGCTTCTGTAGTAGCAATTGATTTCCTAATGCAATGCAGCCCAGCTTTAAAATGGTAAGACTGAGTTATTAATGGCACTGTTATGTTTATCACTACTTTCTAAGCCACACCTTAAACCATGCCATGTCTGGCATGTACATGCTTTACTGTTCCTAAAAATTAATTTCATACTGATTAATATAGGTAATGTTAGTATGTAGGCAAGTGTCCAAATGACTGAAAAAAGCAGAGATTTATATTTACATCTCTGTGTAGGGTCTGCATAATGGCACCTCTGCAATAATATCTCAGTGTTCTGCAGGAAACAATATTCTTTTCCTCCAGTAATATTTTTAGGTCAAATTTATCATCCTGGCTTAAGGAGAAATGTGTTTGGAAGGTGAATGTGATTGGAATTTGAACATACACACACCTAAAATTCTCATTCTGTTTTTTTCTAAATGTGATGGAAATAAGCTTGAATATTTGAATGAGAGGCATTACCTTTCATACTTTCTCCGAGAGAGAACTGTACTACGAGTCTTTTTAAACTTCTTGTGAAAACATATTAACTCTTACCAAAGAGTATTTCAAAGAGGAGGAGAAAAAGCTAGAACTAAGTGAAGTGTGAGTTGTAATGAAAAGTACATGAAACTTTTTTTTAATCCACTTCTCTGACCTATCTAGAATGTGTGCCTTGGTAATGTGCCTCACATGTGGATTACAATAAAAAAAGGAAGTGTATGTGCTTTTCTTTGATCTGTCCCTGTTGAAACCTTTCACCTGAGTTGGATTTTTTTTTTTGTACGTTGTTTTGGGGGAGGGTTTTTTTTCTTTGCATTAAACTGAGGAATCCTGTGCTGGTGTTTATGCAAGCTCCGTTATTAGGAAAGATGAGCAGAAAGTAAGCCTCAGGGTTTCACTGTTTGTTTGTTGTTTTTTTGTTTTTGTTTTGTCGAACTTATTCAGGTAACAGCAAGTCTGAACAGCCTTATTGGAACCCATGGTTGGCTACCGTATGATAAAAATATCTCCAACTACTTTACGTTCATCAGAGATACCACAGTGACAAACCCAAAGTAAGCAAATGATGAGGAAAAATGCAGCTGAATGTATCTACAGTAATGAAATACCGTGCGTATTTGATAATCAGTGGATTGTCCTGTTTTGATTGGCTGTGTTTTCAGTTAAGTATGCATCTTCTGATGCTCAGTAGTTCATATAATCTGTGATAGTGTTCCAGTAAAGCATTCTGTAAGTGGTATTTTAAGGTTCTTCCTTCTCTCTTAAAGCTACTTACTTTTTTTTTTCTAATTGCAAATCACACAATCTCATCTTGGAATCTGAGATGAACAGTCTTCATACTTGCTCGTGCTATAGTGCAGGTATATGTGGTAGTTTCTTTTTCTTAGTTTTATGAAGTTTCCTTTTTCTCTTGGATATTGCAGTATTTACTAGGGGTGTGAGTTATCCACAAACTCAAGTCATGTAAAAGATGGAAAAGATCTAAGGTGAAATCTTGTTTCCACTGCTGGCAGTGTGAGTTTTGCCATGGTTATCAGGGGGCCAGGATTTCACCTGTTGTTTTTCTAGGTATAGCCTCTTCTATAGGTAGTATTTCTTACTAATTTTTAAGGATGTAGGCAGCGCAAAATAGACTGATGTGCATTAAGGTGAGCCTTAACTGTTCATTTGCCTACAGAACCCAGCGCAGCATAGGCGGTCCCTTCGCGCCAGGACTGGAGATCACCTCAAAGTTGTTTGCAGTATCCCATGATGCAAAATTGCTGTTTAGTGGAGGACACTGGGATAACAGCATCAGAGTAACATCCCTTACAAAAGGCAAGCTGGTTGGGCAGCACATCAGGCACATGGGTTAGTAACTCTTTTTATTTGTGTTCTGAAATGAAAGGCTTTATGTGAATCTTTTTATGTGAGTCTTTTTGGAAAGATAGCCAGTACATCTGAGCAGGCACAGCAGTCAAAAAGGAGTGGCAGCATAAGAGCAGAGGAATATTTGAACCAGGACTATATATAAATACTTGAGTATGGCTTTTAGTCACTTTAGTGACTGTTTAATGTACTTTCAGAATAAGATTTGACTTCTGTTTTTTAGGTAATGAAGGTGACTAAGTCAGGTTGTTACACCTGGCTGTATAAAGACTTCATTGCTTAATAAACAAGTCTCATCAGCACTTGTCAGCAGCAGAACTTTTCATGCTGACTGCAAATCCAGATACACTGTTGACATATTGCATGCACAGTCATTCTGCTGGAAGTTAGTCTCATGTATCTGACTGCATCACATCTTGTTATCCTTCCTTTATCTAGATATTGTGACCTGCTTGGCAATAGATTACTGTGGAATCCATCTAATCT